CAGAAGCAGTTAAGATAATTGATATGGGTAATGTCTTCTTCGTAGGTGTCGACGGCTGTTGTTGAGCCCTACAACTCCATCTTGACCACCCACACCACCCTGGAGCACTCCGACTGCGCCTTCATGGTGGACAACGAGGCCATTTACGACATCTGCAGACGTAACCTTGACATCGAGCGCCCAACCTACACCAACCTCAACCGTCTGATTGGGCAGATTGTCAGCTCCATCACTGCCTCGCTGCGCTTCGACGGTGCTCTGAACGTGGATCTGACAGAGTTCCAGACCAACTTGGTGCCCTACCCACGTATCCATTTCCCGCTGGTCACCTACGCACCGGTCATCTCGGCTGAGAAGGCCTACCATGAGCAGCTGTCTGTGGCCGAGATCACCAACGCATGTTTCGAGCCGGCAAACCAGATGGTCAAGTGTGATCCCCGTCACGGCAAGTACATGGCCTGCTGCATGTTGTACCGTGGTGATGTCGTCCCCAAGGATGTCAACGCCGCCATCGCCACCATCAAGACCAAGAGAACCATCCAGTTCGTTGACTGGTGCCCCACTGGTTTCAAGGTCGGCATCAACTACCAGCCACCAACAGTTGTCCCCGGTGGTGACCTGGCCAAGGTCCAGAGAGCCGTCTGCATGTTGAGCAATACCACCGCCATCGCCGAGGCCTGGGCTCGTCTTGACCACAAGTTCGATCTGATGTACGCCAAGCGTGCCTTCGTCCACTGGTACGTGGGTGAGGGTATGGAGGAAGGAGAGTTCTCCGAGGCCCGTGAGGACTTGGCTGCCCTGGAGAAGGACTACGAGGAGGTTGGAGTCGACTCTGTTGAGGGCGAGGGAGAGGAGGAGGGCGGTGATGAGTATTAGATAAACAGCTCAACATGTAACCGTCAGAACTGATTAAAAAACACGTTAACATTCAGAATCTTCTTATTTATTTTAGACCGGTGTACACGTATTTCTTTGATAGGATTTAAACAATATCCAACTAGCTATAGTTATAGAGAAAGAAGGCGCTATTTGTCATGAGTAAATGAATGACGGTTACATGGTAAATTGTACATGCACCGGTGACAAAAAACATTGTACAGTGATTAATGAGAGCCATGCTTTCAATTGACATTACGAGATCTCAGATGAGCTTTGTTTCAACACACCAGTAATTTCCTTGATCGATCTTAGCGGCGACAGACGGGGAAATATCGTTGCACCTACACCGATATCGATTAACAAGAAACACCACTTTGTCTTTCAAGGAGGAAAACGGTATGCTATAACAAAATGTTTCTGCAAAGTCGTGGTAACGAAACATCTTAGCCAAAACTCACATGTGGGTGTTATCATTTTTGCTATATCACCCCACTAATAACTTCAGTGTTAATCACTACTTCAAAGCTGGGGCGGGATACTAGAACGGAGGAACGTCCGTCCGCTTCTAAGTTGGTACAACTCAAAACTAATGAATGAAAGTTCGCATACTCAATAATTTCTGAGAGAGATCACTCCATACAGCTATATTGTCAAGAGTTACCTCCCCTGTTGCGGTTTTACATTTTTGGCACACAGTTACGGCCCTTGATCTATGTTATTTCACTGAGTGCATCTGCAGTGGCGACAATGCATTTGGGTACATCCCCTCCCCGACTGTCTCCATATTGACACTGTATGAACACAATTGTGTCCGTGGCGCGAGATTGTGATAACTCTGTAACTTTTACCAGTGTAAATATGAAAATGCAACAAATCCCATATTATAAGTTGTATGCTTCTCTCGAGGGTAGTACGGTCTGATGTACGCCTCTTTGTAGCAGTGTCCCCCCATACTTTGTATTGAAATAATACATATAATTTCCACTTCAATTATATTTTTGAAGAGGTGATCAGTACAGCTCCCTAGCAACTGTTGTCAAGGTAACGGGTACTCTAACCTATGTGAAAATTACGCAAAATAGATTTATTTTTAGGGACATTTATCTCAGAACAGCAAACGTTTGATGCTGTAATTGCTATGACTTTGCTAAATACAATTACCAAATTGTAGTATCAAGATATAAAAAAGTACGTAAAGTTTAGAATTTTTGTTTTTATTTTAAATTTTTCAAATTTTGACAGGAAACAATTTGGTACATTTATCAGAAGAAATCAACCATTTATTGAATATTCCGCAAGACATTATTATTCAAGTATTTAAGAGGACTGTTAGTTTTAGTTAATGTTTGACAAAAGTAACAGGGATTTGCAATGTCAACCTGTTGAACTAACATGTACCTTCCTAAAAACTGTATGCTGCATACATTCATGCTTTTGGGGGCCCCAGGCTCAGACTCGATTATTTACAGCTGGAATATTGCTGAGTGCGGCGTAGAACTAAACTCACTCTTTTACTGAAGTAAAATATGCTGAGTCATCAAAGTTATATGTTTCAGTTTATGTGCTATTACCTTTCGCAAAACCGAAAATAAATCTAGAAAGTAAAGACGTCATGTACTTTCTTTTTCTGTGTTGACTTTCTTAGTTTCTATAATTCAATCAAAGCATAAATGGAATATTCCTCATCACAAACAAAACAGACCCCTCATTTCAAGTATGAACCATACTTTCAAGAAGAAGTAATGTTTATTACATCGTGAAATATGTAAAAATATTATGAAAATACAGGTTCATGGTTTTAAACCTTGTCAAGTTATTAACAGACCAGTTATTGTCGCATAAAATAAATATACAACTCGAGGAGAAAATCCTTCATCGTTTATTATCAATACATCAAGACCTAAGTCATCTGTCCAAGAAACGATGGCATCTGGACGGAGTATTGAAACCATATCAGATATAACTTAGAGTTGTCTCACTTTCCAGCAATGTGTACTGGCTCAGGTATAACGAAAGTTTACTGGCCGAGAAGTTTCACCAGCATTACTTTTCCCACCTGCAATACGATCGTTTTAAATTGCTTCCCTCCTGGGTCGCGGAGCAAGCTTGTCGGTTATACCTAACAGACGACCTTAAATAAATAAAACAAAATCTGTACCACTTGTATCTGCGCGCATCCAAATTTTGCGATATCTAGTTTGTAGTACAGCAAGTGTCACCATTCAAAGCACTCGATGATTTGGCCGACCGTTATTGTAACAAATGCTTCTGCTTAATAGTTGTGACAGGCATTACAATCAGAAACAAATTCTATGAAGGCAGTTATCGTGGGGTTTTTCTAAAACAAGGTAATCAATGAATACACAATGCCATTTAGAAAGTCGTGGTCAAATGTAACATATGTTTTAGTTGGGATTACACCTTCTCAGTAAAGGACCGATTCTAGTACGTTTTGTTTGGTTGAGTGTCATCCGAGATTCCAACCCACCGAAACCCGGATTGGACTCAACCCAACAAAAGTACCAGAATCGGGTACTTTACTGAGGTGTAATCCTAAGTATAACATTTGTTACAAGGTCATCAATGAGCAGGCGCAGTCGCAGCCTACGAGAAAATGTTCCCAGCTCTATTTGCGCGTCACCACCTTGCGCCAAAACGATATGAACCCAGCTTACTAACATAAGCTTACTGCACATCTACTAATGACACGGGATCCCAGTCTACGCAATGATTATGCCCGTGGTGGGTTCGGACTGGTATCTAATCTTCAGCAAAGTAAAACGAAAGTTTCTGCATTCATCGGTAATCATGATTAGACACGATACTGAAAGATTGAGCGAGATATGTGATAATGTGAACAAACAATTGAAGATGGCTTCAAATCAGTTTTCCAACCTTGTGGTGGGCGTCTTTCTTATCACAGATAGTTCAGTAAGATTAGTTAGGGCAGCAGTTTTATTTTCTGTGTTTCTCATCGCCCGACCGATGCTTCTAATTTTATAGTGAATCATGAAAATAATTCACATAATTTTGTCTTTATTAAGTTTGATGGGTTTTTATGTGTGTGTTTGTTTTTGTTTGTTTGTATTTTTGGGGTTTTCCCCGACCGACCTACCCATGTTCAGAATTTAATGGCTACGTGAAACACATAAAAAAATTATGCCCTTATGCCAAGTCAAGTCGTTAACAACTAAACGAGCAGGATCCGCTATCCAGACATGTACACTGCTGTTTCGTGCCGTGCAGTAAAACGTAGGCACACTACTTCAACCAAGTGGTCTTAGCTTTAAGACTTACTTAACCCACATACATTGCCTAGACTTACGATAGTCGCAGCAGTGAGTCGGGAATAAAATGAGAATATAATAATGATGAGTATAAGTGAGCGAGTTTAGTTTTACACCGCTTTTAGCAATATTCCATGGAGCAATATCACGGTGGGGGACGCCAGAAAAGGGCTTCACACACTGTTGAGTAAGATCAATGAAAACTAGCCTAGAGATTTGATTGCAAAGCTTATATTGAACGACTAAAATTTCGGTCTGTCGTGTTTACCTATACGACAAATATTTGGCAGGACACAGTCGGACACGTATTTTAAACTATGGGAGTTGCGTATACAACGTCAGGACCACATACGTATATGCATGCATGTTACCGACTCACGTGATATATACAAATGTTTCCTACTTTCTCTCTTGTTGACTGATGCCATTTATACGAGTACACACATGAACCATTTTATCTGTCGCAGGTTCGTGCCATTTATACAGACACGTTCTTCTTTCCCTGTTGCTGACTTCGTCATTAATACACACATTCACTCTGTGGAGACCCATGAAGATCCAGGTTAGAATTGATCTTCAGCAACCCATGCTTGTCGTAAGAGGCGACTAATGGGATCGGTGGTCAGACTCGCTGACATGGTTGACACATTGCCGTTCGATTCCCCACATGTGTACAATGTGTGAAGCTGCTTTTCTGGTGTCCATCACTAAATATTGCTAAAAGCGGCGTAAAACCATACTCACTCACTATATACGTTCGATGTTCTCTCGGACTGGTTCACGGTGAATCCCCAATCTCATCACTGTTGATGACGTATTACACCAGATAACCAATGGACTTTGACAACAGCAACCAAGATGTCGACGTCAGGCTCGGTGGCCGTGTTGTTATTGAGCATTGTACTTGCATGTCAAGCTAGGGTGGATGTAAGTAACACACATTTGTAGACACTGTTCCAATGTAGCATCGCACTGCACACAGAGTATATTATGTAATACGCTAAATCGTTTTAAGAAGTGGCAACATATAGATTTCTGATTTATCAAATATATTGCGCAATGTTGATCCCAACACCATTATTCGTGAAGCTTCAGGGTTGGACTTTTCAACAACCCATGCGTATAATGCGAAGAGACCAACATGAGTCAAGGTTTAAGACATAACACTGGTTGATGCTTGTCATTGTGTCCTAAATGTTTAATCGATGTCAATGACGAGGTTGTCTGATCCACACTCGATTATGATATAGTTTGTATACTACTCAGTGCGGCGTTAAAAACAAGGTGAGGTGAGGTGAAATTGGGTAAACGTCGTGCTTGAGAATATTTCGCTCATATGACGACGTGCATGCGTGTGTATGTGTATAGTCTTGTACTAGCCCCGACTGAAGCTGGTTTTATAGTGCTAGCTCACTGAGATACCATGCCGCAGTGAAGCATGAATACCCCTCTCAGACACATTATACTGACTCCGAGCCGACCAGTCGTTGTTGTACCCATTAATGCCAAGCGCCAGGCAGGGACCAACAAGTACCATATTTTAACGTCTTTTGGTATGACGCGGTCGGGGATCGAACCCGCGACCTTCCGCTCTCCGGGCGGACGCTCTAACCACTACACCATGGAGGCGGTCCGTTAAAAACAAACACACGTCATGGGTAGAGCGTATAGTGCTGGTCATGATCTGTATAGTTTCAGTGACGATGAGTACTGTAGATGCTTAAGGGGCGGTGGGGTAGTCTAGTGGTTAAAGCGTTGGCTCGTCACGCCGAAGACCCGGGTTCGAATCCCCACATGAGTACAATGTGTGAAGCCCATTTCTGGTGTCCCCCGCCGTGATGTTGCTGGAACATTGCTAAAAGCGGCGCAAAACCAAACTCAGTCAGTCAGTCAGTAGATGCTTAAAAATATACCTCTACTTATCAGAATAAGGTGTGTGGAGAATACCATCCAGCCTCGTTGCCGTACTTTCTACGAACGTATGATGTGTGTATTGTCCGGTACATCTCTAAAAATGAGTGAGCGAGTTGAGTTTTACGCCACACTCAGCAATATTCCAGCTATATGGCGGCGGTCTGTAAATAATCGAGTCTGAACCAGACAATCCAGTGATCAACAGCATGAGCATCTATCTGCGCAATTGGGAACCGATGACATGTGTCAACCAAGTCAGCGAGCCTGACCACCCGATCCCGTTAGTCGCCTCTTATGACAAGCATGGGTTACTGAAGATCAATATTCTAACCCGGACCTTCACGGGTCACACCACTAAATGAGTGGGTATATACTGTGATACCCCTTACAATCTGGGTGCACGGGTTGCCCGTACATCTGAGGCGCCGCAAATTGATGTATAGTTGCGTCCCTTTGGACAAACAAGAGCCTACGAATGTGGGTTCGAATTCCGCATTTCTCCTACTTTATGCGGACACGCCATGATATAAAACAAATATTGTTATAAGCGGCGTTAAACACAACTCACTCACTCACTCCCCCTATATTGTGTCTGGTGTCACATTACAGGCAGACATCCCCCGACAAGCTGATGTGGAGGACCCAGCAAAGGAGATGTGTATGTATTGTATAACCAACACAAGCATTAGCCCCCGAATTGGTACTCTTAAAAACAGTATAGGGAATATTCCATTATTTTGGAATCAGGTTGTACGATTGTATATGGATTTAGAAAATGATTATTCCTTTCGCAGAGTGTAATAAATTTTGTGCAAACACGCCAATTTCTTGGAACGTTTTGCTTGAGTGCTCCTGAACATGGTCGGAGTAAAATTCGAAATTTACAGTAAATCTTGCCAGTGTGTTGCTGTAAATTTCAGTGATAAAAACCAGGCTGAAGGTTGTTTTATTAAACCGTTTTTGACCAGCGGCGTCTTACCCTCCAGGAACGGCTAGGTGCATGTTAGAAGTTTAAACAAGACAGGCGTTTGTGTCACGAGATTTTAACGTGTCGCGGTCAGTTATTAGCAGACTACAGAATCGATCTGGTCGACCAAAGTCGACACACATATATTTATTTACTCAACTCAATACAGCACTGTCTTTAGACTAATGCTTAGTCTCTGAATATATATAATTTTGATAGTAACATACAAGCCCATTTATATTGAAAAGGAGCCCCAGGGAGACCAGAGATTCAGAACCTGAGGAAATCTAGACTTGCTTTATTTAGGGCTTTAGCACTGCAGATAGGGCTTGGCAGTGGGGAAAATATTGTGGTTCATGGACTGTGAGACAGACTACACTGTATTGTCCCCAGCTCCCCAGCACTACGTCACGGTTTCCGCCCCCGCTGGCACCATCACAAGCCCAGGCTACCCCGGCAAATACCCCCCGAACCTCTCCAGCGTTCTCTTGTCCATCGGCGTTCCCTACGACGAGACCGAGGGCTACGTGAGCCTCCACTTCACCTGGTTCGACATTCAGATGTGCCCCTTCTGCAACTGTGACTACCTCTATGTCGACTCTCTGAAGACGTCGCTGTGCGGAGACAGCCTCCCACCAAGTTACGTCAACAACACCATTATCAGTGAGTGTGACTTTAACTGTGTGAGAGTGCTAATATACTACTCACAGTTTGCTAAGGATTACAAAAATGCACAACTTTACTTAAACGTAGATATTTAATTTGAAGTTGTATCCATTTAAAACTGGATTAATAATAAAGTGGTAACCCCTCTTTAGGCAAACAGTCACTTTAATCTAACCTTATGCACTTGATACATGAGTAACCATAAAAATGGTTTTCTTGGCACCAATCAACCATTTTGCAAATCATGGAACGAGTCATTGACAAGTACACAACACCTGTCAATAGCAGGTATGGGTTCCACAAGATGAAATGACATACTGAAACCTAGGATCCATGCTTACAATTAGCTTAGGTATTTAAACCAAATTTGACCCCACATCATAGTTTTCTGTAGAATCCATGATTTGATCCTTAGCAAAATGTGAATAGTACATTGGGGCCGACAGCCATTTATTTATGGAATTGTTTACAGAATAACATCATGTAGGCCATTACCATGAAATATAACATGTACATGTCTTCCTATGTCGCACCTTGATGCAGCTTAGGTTGTATATTCCTCGGGGAGCTGAGAACTGGAATTCAAATTGGTGTGTGTGTTGTTGTTTTTAACGTAGCCGTTTTTTGTGGTGTGGATACGGCACAGTAGTAGTAGTAGTAGTAGTAGTAGTAGTAGTAGTAGTAGTAGTAGTAGTAGTAGTAGTAGTAGTAGTAGTAATCATCATTGTAGTTCGGTGTCGTTACGGTTACATGACCACTTCAAGCGTTCATCACGCTGAAGACCTGAGTTCGAATCCCCACATGGGTACCATGTGTAAAGCCAGTTTCTGTGTCCCCCGCCGGGATATTGCTGGAATATTGCTAAAAGCGGCTTAAAAGTAAACTAGCTCACTCACTGTGTCCCCCGCCGTGATATTGCTGGAATATTGCTCAAAAGCGGCGTAAAACCAGACTCACTAACTCGGTCGTAGTGGTAACAACTGCTTAAAGGAGCGCAGGCTTTTAATATTTTGCGTTTCTATAGTTCTAGGTATTTTGTCACGCCATTTTGGTCTATGAGGTGGACACATTACATTACAACCACGTGGTGTTCACATATGGTGCCATGTTGTTTCAGTTGCAAGGAGCGAGATCAGGAACAATCTCATCACGCTCAGTTTCCGGTCAGATTCCCGCGAGGAGCACTCAGGCTTCGTCATCAACTATGAACTGCACGTGCACAGACCTGGACACGCCCAGACCACGCCCTTCACCACGTCTGTGTGTCCAGCGATAACCTGTCCCACTTGTCCAGCTGGAGAGGTCCCTAAGACGACGTACGTACCTAACGTCACGATGAGGTTATTGTGAACGGAGGTTGATGTCGCCAACGACGTGTGTATATTTCTGTTGACAATGTTGGTGTCAGGCTTGACGATATAAAGAAATCTCATGATGGTCTCCGGAGACGTTTTAAACAGATCTGTTGACGATGTTGATGTCAGGCTTGACGATGTAATGAGATCTAATGATGGTCTCCGGAGACGTTTTAAACAGATGTGTTGACGATGTTGATGTCAGGCTTGACGATGTAATGAGATCTAATGATGGTCTCCGGAGACGTTTTAAACAGATCTGTTGACGATGTTGATGTCAGGCTTGACGATGTAATGAGATCTAATGATGGTCTCCGGAGACGTTTTAAACAGATCGATGTTGGTGTCAGGCTGTTGACGATGTTGATGTCAGGCTTGACGATGTAATGAGATCTAATGATGGTCTCCGGAGACGTTTTAAACAGATGTGTTGACGATGTTGGTGTCAGGCTTGACGATGTAATGAGATCTAATGATGGTCTCCGGAGACGTTTTAAACAGATCTGTTGACGATGTTGATGCCACACAAGAAGATGTAAGAAAACCTATAGTCGATGATGTTGTCTCATACGATGTTGTAAGTAGGTCTGTTGGCGATGTTGTCTCGCATGACATTGTGAGTGGATCTGTTGAACACGATGTTGTCTCCCTGGACGTTTAAGTAGATATGTAAGGAAATGTAAGGAGATCTATCGATGATGTTGTGAGGCCTGATGAAGATGTTTGTGTCTTTCTTCGGCGGAGGCTGGCTTTAAAGAATTTTAACCTGTCCAATGTGTAATGAAGAAGCTGAAATACTAGCCCTTCGCCTAGTTTTGTGTATGGGGCGGTGGGGTAGCCTAGTGGTTAAAGCGTTAGCTCGAACAAGTATGAACAAAAATGATGGGTAAACTCTTTGAATCTGTTTAGTGGAGGGGCGGTGGGGTAGCCTAGTGGTTAAGGCGTTCGCTCGTCACGCCGAGGACCCGGGTTCGATTCCCCACATGGGTACCATGTGTGAAGCCTATTTCTGGTGTCCCCCGCTGTGATATTGCTGGAATATTGCTAAAAGTGGCCTTAAACCCATACCCACTCACTAGTTTTGTGTATAATACATGAGAATGAACACTTTTAATGTTGAAGAGTTTTCTTTCTTGTTGCAAATGTTCAGCTACACATCACCTTGTCCGAAGTGTGTGTGCACCGCGGAGACACCTTCCACCAAACTCCCATCCTCCAGGTGCCCCGTTCTCACCTGCCCCAGGTGCCCCCCGGGGCAAACCCCTGAAAGACAGTGAGTTTCCTGTAATATCTGAGTATTGTTACATTGTTATGTGTTTTAAGTTGAAAGTAAAACGTGAACCGAGAATTAGTCCGTAAAAGAACTATGTGTGAAACCAACCGACAACAGTGAATGATCGAATGATATAATGACCAAATGATATAATGATCAATTGATATAATGATCAATTGATATAATGATCAATTGATATCATGACCAACTGATATAATGATCAATTGATATCATGACATAATGATCAATTGATATAATGATCAACTGATATAATGATCAACTGATATAATGATCAATTGATATAACGATCAATTGATATAATGATCAACTGTATTATATTAATAGTATCGCGCAAGAAAAAGTAATACAAATGTATAGACAAACGTTGTTAATGATGTCTCACGCAATATTCTAACTGAATCTGTAGACAATGTTGTTCTCTCCGTGCACGATGTTAGCAGACATGTTGGCAAAGATGTTGCCTCCTTTGAACGATGTTGTAAGATCTTTAGACAGTGTAGTTTTCCCCCATGCATCATGCTGTCATTAGATCTATTGGAGATGTAGTTGTCTGTATGACGTTGTTGCATTTTAAAGTTTCAACTCTTGTAGAATTATTTCTCGTATTATCAACTTCCAGCTACACATTACCGTGTTCGACGTGTGTGTGCACCGCGGTGACACCTTCCACCCAACTCCCGCCCTCCAAGTGCCCCGTGCTCACCTGCCCCACGTGCCCCCAGGGGCAGACCTCTCAAATACGGTGGGTATCTTACATTATCTATGCATCCTGCAGTTTAAAAACACGTTCAGAGTGCGTAAACCCTTTCACGCCATCTCCAAGAAAGAAATGAGTTACAATCATCCATGTATAGTACCAGACAAGAATGAATAATATAGATATACGTGGTGAGGAGATCTGTTGACGATGTAGCCTTACATGAGGCTGTAAGTAGATATGTTGACGATGCAGCCTTACTCAAGGCTGTAAGTAGATCTGCTGACGATGTCGCCTTACTCAAGGCTGTAAGTAGATCTGTTGGCGATGTAGCCTTACACGAGGCTGTAAGTAGATCTGTTGGCGATGTAGCCTTACACGAGGCTGTAAGTAGATCTGTTGGCGATGTAGCCTTACACGAGGCTGTAAGTAGATCTGTTGGCGATGTCGCCTTACGCGAAGCTGTAAGTAGATCTGTTGACGATGTCGTCTTGCGCGAGGCTGTAAGTAGATCTGTTGACGGTGTTGCCTTTACGAGGCTATACGTAGATCTGTTGGCGATGTCGCCTTACGTGAGGCTATAAGTAGATCTGTTGACGATGTCGCCTTACACAAGGCTGAAAGTAGGTCTGTTGGCGATGTTCCCTCACATGGCGATATAATCAGATGTTGTTGTCTTCCATGACGATGCTAGTGGGTCCGTGGACGAGGTAGCAGTTTAACTCTTGATGATGTATTTCACACTTCACATTATCAACTTCCAGCTACACATCACCGTGTTCGACGTGTGTGTGCACCGCGGTGACACCATCAACCAAACTCCCATCCTCCAGGTGCCCTGTTCTCACCTGTCCCAGGTGCCCCCGGGGCAAACCCTGAAAGACGGTGAGTTTCCTGTAATATCTGAGTATTGTTACATTGTTACGTGTTTTAAGTTGAAAGTAAAACGTGAACCGAGAATTAGTCCGTAAAAGAACTATCTTGAAAAACCGTCAATGATCGAATGATATGACACCCTATATAATGATCAATTGATATAATGATCAATTGATGCACGTGATCAATTGATATCATGACCAACTGATATAATGATCAATTGAGGACATAATGATCAATGATATAATGATCAACTGATATAATGATCAACTGATATAATGATCAATTGTATAACGATCAATTGATGAAATCAACTGTATTATATTAATAGTATCGCGCAAGAAAAAGTAATACAAATGTATAGACAAACGTTGTTAATGATGTCTCACGCAATATTCTAATGAATCTGTAGCCAATGTTGTTCTCTCCGTGCACGATGTTAGCAGACATGTTGGCAAAGATGTTGCCTCCTTTGAACGATGTTGTAAGATCTTTAGACAGTGTAGTTTTCCCCCATGCATCATGCTGTCATTAGATCTATTGGAGATGTAGTTGTCTGTATGACGTTGTTGCATTTTAAAGTTTCAACTCTTGTAGAATTATTTCTCGTATTATCAACTTCCAGCTACACATTACCGTGTTCGACGTGTGTGTGCACCGCGGTGACACCTTCCACCCAACTCCCGCCCTCCAAGTGCCCCGTGCTCACCTGCCCCACGTGCCCCCAGGGGCAGACCTCTCAAATACGGTGGGTATCTTACATTATCTATGCATCCTGCAGTTTAAAAACACGTTCAGAGTGCGTAAAATTCTTTCACGCCATCTCCAAGAAAGAAATGAGTTACAATCATCCATGTATAGTACCAGACAAGAATGAATAATATAGATATACGTGGTGAGGAGATCTGTTGACGATGTAGCCTTACATGAGGCTGTAAGTAGATATGTTGACGATGCAGCCTTACTCAAGGCTGTAAGTAGATCTGCTGACGATGTCGCCTTACTCAAGGCTGTAAGTAGATCTGTTGGCGATGTAGCCTTACACGAGGCTGTAAGTAGATCTGTTGGCGATGTAGCCTTACACGAGGCTGTAAGTAGATCTGTTGGCGATGTAGCCTTACACGAGGCTGTAAGTAGATCTGTTGGCGATGTCGCCTTACGCGAAGCTGTAAGTAGATCTGTTGACGATGTCGTCTTGCGCGAGGCTGTAAGTAGATCTGTTGACGGTGTTGCCTTACGTGAGGCTATACGTAGATCTGTTGGCGATGTCGCCTTACGTGAGGCTATAAGTAGATCTGTTGACGATGTCGCCTTACACAAGGCTGAAAGTAGGTCTGTTGGCGATGTTCCCTCACATGGCGATATAATCAGATGTTGTTGTCTTCCATGACGATGCTAGTGGGTCCGTGGACGAGGTAGCAGTTTAACTCTTGATGATGTATTTCTCACACTTCACATTATCAACTTCCAGCTACACATCACCGTGTTCGACGTGTGTGTGCACCGCGGTGACACCATCAACCAAACTCCCGCCCTCCAGGTGCCCCGTTCTCACCTGTCCCAGGTGCCCCCCGGGGCAAACCCCTGAAAGACGGTGAGTTTCCTGTAATATCTGAGTATTGTTACATTGTTACGTGTTTTAAGTTACTTATCGACCTTCTTGAAAACCGTCAAATTCAAGAATGACACCCTATGCACGTGTATGCATTGTGCACGTGCTTCACATGCGTTGTGTTTAGGAGTGGTGATAAAGAGAAATGGTGGTGCGTTCATAAGATGTTTGTCTTTGAAAAGTTCGTTAAAGCTTATCGAAATTGAAAGTTTTTTTAAGAGTATACGTTGTGATGAAGTCTGTTGCCGATGTTCCCTCACACGATGTTATAATCAGATGTTCGACGAGGTTGTTGTCTTCCACGACGATGCTAGTGGCTCCGTAGACGATGTAGCAATTTAACGTTTAAGCTCTTGAAGAAGTATTTCTCCCACTTTACATTATAAACTTTCAGCTACACATTACCGTGTTCGACGTGTGTGTGCACCGCGGTGACACCTTCCACCAAACTCCCGCCCTCCAAGTGCCCCGTGCTCACCTGCCCCACGTGCCCCCAGGGGCAGACCTCTGAAATACGGTGGGTATCTTACATTATCTATCCATCCAGTTTAAAAAACACGTTCATAGTGCGTAAAATTCTTTCACGCCATCTCCGAGAGTGAAATAAGTTTTAGTCATTGACATATAGTACCAGACTGAGAATACATTTGCATATGCAAATTTGTCAGTCTAAGTAAACTTATAGTCTGTTTGCAGTGAAAACGTACCGATGAATTTCACTTTAAACAAAAAAGTTGATAAAAAGAGTGAAATGAAAATTGCGAATCCACATAATTTTACCTTGCCAACTGAACATTTAAATCTCAGAATTTTATTCAACTTCGGATAAAAGTTGTTTAACAAACGATCATATGAACCTATGATTGTTGGATTGTATTACAAGGGGGTAAGCGCAGTAGTTGGAACAGTGAAACAAATGCACGTGCGGTACGTGATGAGCGTTAACTTAGACCAACCCTACTTGTTCTCGGTGTTTCATTAAATGTGCATACCCCCTTGTAATACAAATGTTCTACAAGGTTGTTGTCTTCCACGACGATGCTAGTGGCTCCGAAGACGATGTAGCAGTTTAACGTTTAAACTCTTGAAGAAGTATTTCTTCCACTTCACATTATAAACTTTCAGCTACACATCACCGTGTTCGACGTGTGTGTGCACCGCGGTGACACCTTCCACCAAACTCCCGCCCTCCAAGTGCCCCGTGCTCACCTGCCCCACGTGCCCCCCGGGGCAGACCTCTGAAATACGGTGGGTATTCTTTGATGTTAGTAGTGTGTAAAAACCTTTAACGCGATCTCCGAAGTGAAATCAGTCACTTAAAATATCACTCTACAATATATAACAGAGATACTTAGTAATGAGATATGTAAACATCGCATGGTCTCTTATGCTCGACGCTATTAGCAGTTATTTTGGAAATGTTGGAAGTACATCTCTTTACGATGTAATTGTGTTCCACGCGGGTGTAAGCAGGTCTGTTGACGCTGTTGTTGTTTCTTTATGACGTCGAAGGTAGATCTGTTGAGGATGTTTTTGTCCCAAGCGTTCTTGAGAGTAGATCAGTTGACGACGCTCATATCTCACACGATGCAGTTGGTAGATCTGTTAGCAAGGATGTTGAAACAGGAGACGTAGTAAGGAGATCTGTTGACGGTGTTGTCGTCTCACACGACGATGCATGTAAACCCGTTGACGATGTTGGTGTACACGCATTACGTCTCTGTCTCCCATTACGTTGTAAGCAGATCTGTTTACTCTGTTGTCGTTGCACAAGTAGGAGTAAATAGATCTGTTGACGATGTTGCTGTCTCCTACCCCGTTGCGTGTTTAACTGTGAATTTTAGATCAATTTGCCACACTTCTTATCTTAACTTTCATTTAGCTACACATCTCCGTGTTCGACGTGCGTGTGCACCGCGGTGACACCTTTCACCAAACTCCCGCCCTCCAAGTGCCCAGTGGTCATCTGCCCCGCGTGTCCTCCGTGGCTCAAAGCTGAAAGACAGTTAGTATCCTCCAATATCTGCAGCATTGTCATAGTGTGACCTCAATTAAGTATATTTCATTCCATATGGAGACCGAAAGCAGTCGTACTGGTCACATCAAGCCTTTCAGATAATTTTACAAACGACCCTTGCTATACTTTGATGTGTTTATATTTAATATTTTACAAAGTCCTTTCTTCAAAAACTTTCGTTTACTGTCACGCATCGTTTCAGAATGGTAACGTTTAACACAACGCCCTCCGTTACTTATGAGTTTCAATAAACTGTAACAGTATTACAGTTTCTCCGTAGATCGTAGCTATAGTTTACTGAAACATGATATTCGCTTACTGACGGGTCCATGGATTGCACGTGATTTTAATTTTGATCTTAACACGTAGATATGTAAAACCAAAGTATGTTGCTTCAGAAAAATTAAAGGTACCTATTAAGGTTTGATAACTTGGAAAATCAATTGATTTTGTTTTTGCTAAGCAAATATGGGACTTTCTTAACCGCAATTGCCAAAGATGGCAAATTATTCTCAGGAACTGACTGACTGACTGACTGAGTTTGGTTTTACGCCACTTTTAGCAATATTCCAGCAATATCACGGCGGGGGACACCAGAAATGGGCTTCACTCATTGTACCCATGTGGGGATTCTAACCCGGGTCTTCGGCGCGACGAGCAAACGCTTTAACCACTAGGCTACCCCACCGCCCCTATTCTCATGAAGAATACTGGTATGTCATTGAGGGCCGTCGCAAGATATGTTGGTTGTCATCCATCGACTGTCAGCTGATTGGTCAGAAAACATCAACAAACTAATGACGTCACGGTCGTTCACGTCGTCCACGAGCGACAGCTCATAGAGAGAATACAGCCCTTCTCTGTTAAAAGTAGAGTGGCTTCCACATCGTCGTTTGACCAACAGAACGGCCCGAGAGTAAATCAGCCAGGTGCAGAGCAGGACGGCCTGTCAAACAGTTGCCGTTATCCCAAGAGCACAAAGCAGCACGGCTACAAATTGTAGATTGGAGTCAAGGTCGATGCCACTGGAATGATTGAAGGCCGGGCTCGCGTTTGGCCCTCAGAAACATTTGGCTATCAAATGATCTTTAAATAGTTGTTAAAGGCAAATTCCTACTGTTTGGTGAAAATGCATTCAAAGTATGTAAACTTACAGCCAATAGCCAGCAATCTGACCCCAGACGCCAGCCGCCAGCCACCAAACGCCAGGTTTTACACTATGCCCAGAAACACTGCCTAAGTATACCGGGATATGTTGGAGCAAGTACCGTTTCGCGGCGCGGGAGTTATTGGTGTGTGGGTGCATCTCACATGACTACACATTTGGTTTATGACGATCAGACCCATTCTGAATGCACAACATTGACAATCTAGACGGGGTTGTTGTACCACATGTCGATGACCATTCTTTGAAAACAAGGTCACGGACGAAAGGCAGATTACGCTAGAGAGAATATCCTGATGCATTGGAACAGGCCCTCCATCAAGAATGGAACCTCAAAGTAAAATTTAACTTCTAACAGTCAACGAGGAGGAGGTCAAGGATGTTATTCCAGTTGGCGGAGGTTACACCATGGATATTGACATTGTGCTCGATTACTTATGTGATAGGGCGATGGGGGAGCCTAGTGGTTAAAGCGTTCGCTCGTCACGCCGGACCCGGGTTCGATTCCCCACGTGGGCACAATGTGTGAAGCCTATTTCTGGTGTCCCACGCCGTGATATTGCTGGAATGTTGCTAAAAGCGGCGTAAAACTCACTCACTCACTTAGGTGATATCTTGTGGAGTGTATGCTAGAACCTTGAAAATGAACGCACTTCTTAACGCCATACAAAAATAGTTATCAGCACTACAAAATGAGTCAAGCTTTTGTTATGTTTGCTTTTCGTTCTCTTAGTGTTTACATTTGCCATGTAATTATTATTTTAGGGTCATTTTTATCCAAATAGTAAATTAAATTGAGGTTTTGATAAGTGGTTGATTGTAACATTGTTACATATTGATCCTTTGAGAAATGTAGGATGTTGCAATACATTTTGCCATGTGTAAATATTTTTAGGCAAATTGCTTCATAATGATCCCAGTCTGCCATATAAACTGTTGTGTATATTATGGGCTGACTGACCACATGTATAAACATAGGCCGGAGAGACACATTCTTCATGGACAGAGATAGATCATTCCGCTGTTATTAAATACACTGTAATGTGTCTTGTTCCAGGTACGACAAGGCGTGTCCCAGGTGTACCTGCGTCCGTTACTACACCTCCTCCACTCCCCCACAGAGAAAAACTACAACAGCAGGTTGGACAAAATGGAGAAATTATTTCGTGTAGCGTAGTTGTGATTGGACATGTATATTTCGCATCACATGAAAAAGGGTGATTCTGAATGCCATGAAACAGGTAGATTCCTGTTTCTATGAAATAAATAGATTTTGGGAGCCAAAAAAAACCCAAAACAGATAAAATCCTTTACCTAAAAACAGGTAGATTTCGGGTATAGTGAAACATCTAAATTCCAGGAACAACTAAAAAAAGTAAATTCCGGGGGCGTGGAATAGATAAAAATCCGGATACCATGAAACAGTTAAATTCCGGGTGCCATGAAACAGTTAAATTCCGGGTACGAACGAATAGGTAAGATCCGGATACCTTGAAACAGCTAAATTCACGATACAGTGAAACAAGTAAATTCCGAGTACCATGAAACAGTTAAACACAGGTAGATGAAGGTAAACAGTGGCACAGGTAGATGAAGTGCAATATTTGATCATGGGGTAAACGGAAACCTTCTAGATCCAAGGGCAGCAGGGTAGTGGTTAAAGAGTTGGCTCGTCACGCCGAAGACCCAGGTTCGATTCCCCACATGGATACAATGTGTAAAGCCCAATTGTGGTGTGCCCCGTCGTGATATTGCTGAAATATTGCTAAACACTGCGTAGAACCATACTGACCCACTCACTCACTTCAAGATCTGATGTCTGCTGGTATGTGTTTGTGCTCACTGCTATAACTGACTTATGTCGGGAGTTCTCAAAAGGCATATTTTAATTTTATGATTGGGCATTAAGATGTTAATAAAAATGTTAGTTCCGATTTTACATATTTTAGCTCCACCACAGGATCTTCTTTAAGTGTCACGTGAAATAATTCTTGAAACATAGTATTCATCTATTAGTCTCAGGACATAAGTCCTGAAACGTAGTATTCATATATTGGTCTTAGGAAGTAATTCCTGAAAGAGAGTATTCATTTATTGGTCGCCGGAAGTAATTCCTGATGTGTAACATTCATCCATGGGTCTCAGGAAGTAAATCCTGAAACACAGTGCTCATATTTTGATTGCAGGAAGTCCTGAAACGAAGTATGCATCTAATGGTCGCCGGAAGTAATTCCTGAAACGTCGTATTCATGATGTGTTCGGCAGCGTTGTAGTCAGTGTTTCAATGTTGTTTATGACGTTGCAGCGGGACGACCACCCATGATGCTGCTACAGATGCTGCAGAATGTCGCACACCGTGCAGAAACTCTGGAGTACGCAGCACGTGATATGAAGGAGGAGATGAGGATCGCCATCAATCTCTTGTTACAATCTCAGATTCAAAATGGTAGGTACACAAAGATCGCCATAAACCTCTTGCTACAATCTCCGCTCATCCGCTTCTCAGCAGCAGCAGCATTTTACCCAGTTTAAAATGTAAATTTGTGCCTAAAGAGGCAAAATAGTTTCAAAAGTTCGACGTCTAAAATTCCCAGTCACATTTGTGTATGATGCGATTTTATAAATTTGTTTGAAAAGAAAATACACTTTTAAAATATAGAACAATTAGGAATTCGAAGATCTGTGATTGTGTCTGAACTAGTGTTGGGAATTGGTTAAAATCTCATTACAACCGATCAATCATCGAAAATAATTGGTTATCGTCATTTATGAAATGTTCCTGGTTATTTATGTTAATGCTCAAATAAGGGGAAAACACATGTAGTTCTTTAAGTTTTATTGGTGCACAATTTCATATCTTTAAAGGATGACAAGTATGTAAGAACATAAATTTCTTAGAGTCTTTAAGATAAATTCAATCATGACTTGGAACGAGCTTGTAGTGCTTATAAAATGTAACAGACAAAACCAACCTTGTGAAATATATCGTTTATGAAAACAAGTGTTCCAGAATTGTTTGTGCTCGATTATGAGAAAACATGATCGATTGCTTGGTCGTTTAGTCACTGCGACCAATCTTCGATTATTTCAATTAATCGGACCACCACTAGTCTGAACACGTGATAACATGAACAATTTGGTTCATATTTCATGCAGACATATAGCCCACTAGTTCTGTAAGGTATCTTCCATGAGTTCAATGGGTTTGTTTTACAGTTGCGATTCTCTTGAGCAACTGATAAATTGATAAATTCGAAAAGTTTTCTAGTGACCCCACAAATTGCAACAACGCCCCGTTTAGTTCAGAAACAATAAAACAATTTTAATTTCGTTGTTTTAGCTGTTAAAACGGATGAATAATCCCAGGCTTTGATGCGAGGAACATGGTACCTGTATTCAATAATGCTTTTCCAAATAACATGATATCCAAACACGAAATGTTATACTTTTGAAGGAGTGATTTGAGCGGTAAATACACAATTTCTGAACCTTTGACACCAGATACCCCGAAACTCCCAGACAGTGTGGAGGGCGTCAAGCTCCCGGCAGTGTAGTTCTTCAATCGACCTTCAACTCGTGACCTTGTGCGTTGAGACTGTGCAGCGGCAACAGACGACACCCAGTCTCATTTCAGACTCCTATTTGTACCAGCGTCATATGAACAATAGTGCCAAAGTCTTTATGTCCTATTTGTTTTATTGTGTGTGCTTAACTGATGGTTTTCTAATGAAACGCTTCATAGTAGATATGTGATATCCAGATTATTGGTATTATGTTTTCTAAATTTATTTGTCATGGGAAATTCGGTACTGTGAACGGTCTTGTGACTTAGCTAACTACTTAACATTGGAAACAGAAATTTGGAACACCATACCAATGATGTAAAATCTGCACCCAGAATTACTATCTGATTCTCGGATTGGTCCCCATTATCCCATGCTCTCTGATTAAATGAAAATACTCAGGTTGTCTAGGTCAGCTCTTCCAGTGAATAAATTGTTTGACCACAAACATCAATTTGGACGATTATCTTTTTATTTACACTTATTACACAATGCCATTTAGAAAGTGGTCAAATGTAACGCATGTTATGTTTGGGATCACACGTTCTCAGTGAAGTACTGATTCTATTACTCTAGTTGGGTCCCATCTGGGACACCCTCAGAGTCGCCAAAGTCAGTGGTCTAACCCAATCAGCCACCGAAGCTTCAACCCAACACAAGTACTAGAATCTGTACTTTACTGAGAAAGTGTAATCCCAATATAATGTGTTACACTTATGTGGAGTTTCATTGAAGATACAACCATCTTTCTCATGCGCGGATGTGTTTCACGTGCTTGGCATTACCTATCTCTGGGGTTGGACATGTTTATACGTTAGTTCGCTACTTTTATGAGGTATGCTATTGTGATTTGAAACCTCTAATGGTTAATCAAAGAAAGACTTCTCCAATGTCCTGTTTGAATACATTTTATATCATTAGAGAATCATTATGCATGATGGGACTTATTTTCGAAGAGAATCATTAGATATGTTAGAGCACAAGTTCACTCGCGCTCGTCTAAGAATGACGTCATATCCTGTGTGTTGCATTTCTCGGTCGAGCAGAAGCACCAGACCACACCCTCGTTCTCGTTCTCGATACATCCGGTCCGCTCCAGGTCTTCCGGTAAGTAGTGCCCCTTAGAACACCCCCGGTAGATAACTAGGAAGAGAAAGGATGAGTTAGGATAGGAGGTGAGGTGAAATTGGGTTTTACGTCGTGCTTGAAAATATTTCGTTCACATGACGACGTGCATGCGTGTGTATGTGTATGTGCGGCTGCTTGTACTAGCCCAGACTGACGCTGGTTTTATAGTGCTAGCCCACTGAGATACCATGCCGCAGTGAAGCATGAATACCCCTCTCAGACACATTATACTGACTCCGAGCCGACCAGTCCTTGTTGTACCCATTAATGCCGAGCGCCAGGCAGGGACCAACAAGTACCACATTTTAACGTCTTTTGGTATGACGCGGTCGGGGATCGAACCCGCAACCTTCCGGTCTCCGGGCGGACGCTCTAACCACTACACCACAGAGGCGGTCAGTTAGGATAGGAAGTCACCGTTCTACATCAGTTAAGCACCAAACAAACACACACGATTCCATAATCACATTTGAACCAGGAGAACCTTTGGTTGTGAAAGCATTAACATCGACTCATAACTCATACGGTGGCCATCCCGATTGCAATTACAATCTTTATATTGCCAGAAATTATGGGTACCCGGACGGGAAAGATGGCAATGTGGCTTTAAGCGCCATCTCACATGGATTTATACTCCTAAGGGAGCTGAGAACAAAACTGGAACCGCGCTAATCCACTGACTCAGGTAATATGTGGAATGGGGACATATACGCACACTATAAGGCTTCCTAGTCCTGTTGCTACTACTACTACTCGCCAACGTTGTCTGCTACTAATACAAAAACAAGTTCTACTTAAAACCTACTGTGTTTATTCCAACGGGCCGTCTTCACGAAACAGGCGTCGTCGCACATGACGCTGGTGAGGAGATCCGTCGTGAGGTTACCGCTCACAGGACACAGTGGGTTCTGGTCACGTGACATGCCGCTGTTGCAGTCCCAGCACCGCACTGGGAACGTTGGAGGAGATGCTGGAGAACACAGATGTAATAATCAGACTGGTACCCTCTCGTTCGCCTCCTTGTGCTCTAGGGTAGGCAGACCAATCAAGCTCATTGAAATCAGTTCTGGCTACCACGATCTGAAGACATCCCATTATGGTTCACGTCTAAACGACTTTTCATCAAATCAATCAGCGTGTCCGATTATCAGATCAGAGAATCCCAGTAGAGTGTGTTTATAGGCTGGCAACCTCATACAGGTTAACTCAGGGTATTCCCAAAGATTGTATATATGGCCATAAGACTGATTCCGCCAATTTCCTCAATCTCGCTTCAGTGAGATAATCATCTGAAACGGAGGTGGCTTTGTATAGCCCGTGAGGGTTCTGCAACACATTCTTTGCTATATATCTGTCATTCCAGAATTTTCTTTTGTTAAATTTTCAAATTTATTTAAAGCCTAGTCCTGCATAGAGGTGGGCAGTTTGAAACTAGTGAGGTATAAAACCTGCTTGCTTGCTGGTCATTTCATTGTTTTTCCAAAGATCGTTCTTAGCAGGATGTCCTGAGATCATTGTTTGGCAGTAGCGGTGGCCAAGATCTGATATTAGGTGAGGTGAGATGAAATTGGGTTTTACGTCGTACTTGAGAATATTTCGCTCATATGACGACGTGCATGCGTGTGTATGTGTATGTGCGGCTGCTTGTACTAGCCCAGACTTAAGCTGGTTTTATAGTGCTAGCCCACTGAGATACCATGCCGGAGAGAAACATGAATACCCCACTCAGACACATTATACTGACTCCGAGCCGACCAGTCCTTGTTGTACCCATTAATGCCGAGCGCCAGGCAGGGACCAACAAGTACCATATTTTAACGTCTTTTGGTATGACGCGGTCGGGGATCGAACTCGCGACCTTCCGCTCTCCGGGCGGACGCTCTAACCACTACACAGATCTGATATTAATTACACTGATGGCTTAATGTAAAGCTTCTAAAGATACTGTTGCATTCGAGCTGGGACAAGTACTGTTCTGAAGCCAGATACCAAAAGGGTTATCCTCTTCAGCATGATCTATGGTAGATTAGTGGACCCTAGCCATGAGAACCAACCAGTCATGGAATAGGTTAATGTTGTCTGTTAAATTATAGGTCAATATGTTCCACGTACCTGTCTGACTTACAGTTGTCTCCCCCTGGTCGACAGGTGGCGGTGTTTCACACTGTAGATCCCGTTTCTGTTGCGCATTGGCCACGCTAAGATATCCACGTATTACTCGTGCTTGGTCCATTCCACATCGCGTGCGGGTGACGTCATCAAGACAAGTCTCGAACTCGTCATAGTACCGACAAGGGTCCCTGTCGGAAGCAGCAATGTCGTTAGCTCGGATGCCGCATTCTTTGAAGTCGGCGTTGAGGTTGAAATTCCCCAAACATTGCCTGTATCGCTGGATGTCTGCATGGAATACGTGTCATGGTGTCAGTCACGAAAACATGGGATAACGAAATGTCTTAATCAACGGCATGTACTGAAAACATGATGCTGTGGATATATCTTACATACACACCTGTATCTGTTCCACTTCAGAAACCACTTGAACGCTATACGAGGATGATTCTTTGCAGGTGTCACAAGTTCTAATGTTCAGGGGCGTAGCTACCATTGATTAAAATGCCCGGGCTTACACATGATTTTTGCTAAAAAAATATTTTTGGGTAATTCTTGCCAAATATACCTCAACTACTATCTACATATAAAGCTTTGAAACCTATCGGGCTTACACGAAAGAATTGGCTTGCTACGCGCCTGATGTTGTCTCGTTAAGATGTGTCGGTTTTAAAGCCTCCTTCATCAACGTAAGGGTGATATTACGGCGTATGAGTTTAATGTGGGAGGGAAGCCCGAAGTGATGCAGGTCTCAGACGTGTATAACTTTAATGAAACCCACCCACAGACAGGCACAGACAAACAGATACACTGTCGAAGCGAACCTTGATTCTAGCTCAGGATCATAGTTTTAGACGTGCTCAGGGGACGCAACTCTGATCAGCGAAATATACGCCTCATACGACGGGGCGCCGTCTCTGATAAAAGCTTACATTTCCCATTCGATTTCAACCTGCTTGCAACCTCCACGCTGAAGATGTCCTATCCATTCAACGATTTCTGCATACTGTACATCATGGCACTAATAGGTCACCAAAATAATCTGAATTAAAACCCTATTGCTTTTCAACGGAATTTAGAAGATATACACATAAACGATGAGAATTATTTATGGATGTCAACTTCTTCATTATGTCAACACAAGATAATCAGTGTTTCTCTTAATAAGGAAGTTTACATCCTTATATTCTCACCTTTTACACTATTGTTGTAACTTTAAATCTAATCAGTGGGTTTTAAAGTGGGTTACTGTGGCACCTGGAATTCCATTATAAAGTACAGTATTTCGGAATAGATGGATGTCGGATTTTGGGGATTTTCTTATCTGATATTATATAGAGACAAGTTCGGGACCAAATAAATATGTCGGTTTACAGGGACTGTCGGATTAGAGGGATGTCGGTTTAGAGGGAGTTCACTGTACGTTTATACCGAAGACGGATATGACGAACTGATTGATATAAACTACCTTTGCCCCTTGCCACTTACTGTATACTTTCATGAAAATGCGTACAACAATCTATAATCTATACCAAAAATGAATGGTCCCTTTCAGTTCGTTGTAACCGTAATCTGCTGTATGGCGTAACGGAAGTATCATTTGCTTTCTTCACAAACAAACCTTCTGATGTGTAAGGACAACACATCCACTGATCATGAGCAGGAGTTCAATGGTAGTTTAAGTACCTGAAAAGACGTCGTCGCAGATGTAGGAGAAAGCCCCGAGCAGTAGTTGGTCGACGTCTCTGAACAGCGGCGGCAGACACTCGGGGGAGGTACAGTTTTTGTAGATGCGGTAATCACTGAAGCAGATTTGGTAGGAACGTTTGAGCCATTGTCAGTGAGAACTCAGCCATCACTTGAAGCGCTGTTCAAATCTTAAGTCGATAACCTGCGCATTTTTTTTATCTTGTACACCAGTAACCCATGCTTGTCGTAAGAGGCGACTAACGGGATCGGATGGTCAGGTTCTCAATTGCACAGATCGATGCTCATGCTGTTGATCACTGGATTGTCTGGTCCAGACTCCATTATTTACAGACCGACGCCATAGCTGGAGTATTGCTGAGTTTGGCGTAAAACTAAACTCACTCACTTGTAGCTTGTATGGTAAAGATATGATACTCTCTAAAAACATGTATTACCTAACTCGTCAGCGACATGGATTTTATATTAATATATTCAGTTGTTCATGAAATGAAATAACCAAAAAATAATTACAGAGAAAGTAAATAAGTGATCAGAATATGACATTTGATTCTAACGTTCACCAGGATTGCCTCCCTTGGCCGTGTCTGGATCAGACGATGATGTATTCGATTCTTTAGTTGAAGTGAAAAACAAATGCATAATGGCACAGAAAGAAGAGAACAGAAAGAAGAGTGGTGATATTTCATACCAATGCTGAATAACATACACGGGAGAAAAGTACCATGTGTGTTACGGACACTCAAGGTGAAAATCGAAATAGACTGAAGCGTGCATATAATCTCACACGTGTTTGTCATTGACTTACGGGCAGCCATTGGCAAGTGCCGGGAGGTTGATGTTTCCGGTCTCCAGGCCGGAGACGAGATCCTGTAGGACCGGAAGTATTGGCTGGATGCACGTGACCACCACGTCCTGTTGACAATCCTGGGAGGACACTGTAAACGAATACATGCTGAGGTGATGCAACGAGCGGCCGAAATTCTACCCATTGGCCCTTTTGTCCAATTTCATTTGATGTTTAGATCCAAAACATAGAAAAGAGAACTAAATCTCAGTCATTCTGTTTCCCTGTCTTTCCTTAACATCAGAATGCAGAATTCATCCACACGGAAGGACGTTACTGACCATCCTGGCTATGCTGCGGCAACTCTCTGAGAGACGTCAGATGGTGTTAAAGAGTTACGTCAAAGCTAACGCTATGAGAGAAGTCGATCTATGTTAAAGAATCTTAGTTATGGTAGTCTACTGTGAGTGACGTAGATCGTTGTTTACCCGTGAAGATCCGGTTTAGAACTACATGTAGTCGTCACCAACCCATGCTTGTCGTAAGGCAACCAACGGGATCGGGTGGTTAGGCTTGCTGACTTGGTTGATGCACAGGAAAATTGTAGCGCAAATAGGGTTGCGCAACAAAGAAAATTACCAGTCTTCCCATATGCGTGCGCATGGGAAGACTGGTAATTTTCTCTTTGTTGCGCACCCTTATTTGCGCTACAATTTGTCTGTGGTTGATGCATGTCATCGTATCCCAATTTCGTAGATCGATGCTCATGCTGTTGATCACTGGACTATCTGGACTCGACTATTTACAGACAGCCGCCATATAGCTGGAATATTGCTGAGTGCGGCGTTAAACAACAAACAAGATTTCATGCTCATAATCCTATTGATGTAACTGAACATTGGTCAAAGGGTGGTAAGCCCAACTCATTCACTCATTTAGCTGTTCCGCGTCGACTACACACGCGTCGAGAGTCGTTGACGTGAATGCCTAAAATGTGTGTTGTAGATTACGTATGTACACATGTCAGACACCGTCCTGGCTGACCACCCGCGTCGTATACATATCCATCACCATCGACGGTCAATATGTAAACCGGGTGTAAACAAAGCAGTATGCTGTGGATGGGGATACTGAGTGGGTCACTGAGATCATTAACTGGGTTAAGGGGCGGTGGGGTAGCCTTGTGGTCAAAGCGTTCGCTCGTCACGCTGAAGACCCAGATTCGATTCCCCACATAGGTACAATGTGTAAGCCCGTTTCTGGTGTTCCCCGTCGTAACATTGCTGAAATATTGCTAAAAGCGGCGTAAAACTATACTCACTTACTCCAACTGGGCTAACGCTAATTCTCTGAATATATACATCATTTTAACTTCCTAGAGTGGCTTTTTTACAAGTTGGAGAGTCAGATACGGACAAACATTATGGATGAACAACTTCTTTATTCCCATGAGAGACGTAAATCTTTGCTTACCCGTGAAGACCCGGGTCTTCAACAACCCATGCTTGTCGTAAGAGGCGACTTAGTACTTAATACCCATCATTCAGATGCCCTAATATCTCAGTATTTTGAAGCATTAGTTCACGTGAGACGATGTGGCAACATTATAATTCTATTTGAATATGGAAAATACTTGATTCTGGACAGCCAGAGGTTTCAAATATTGATATTGATAACCTAACCATTGAGCTGACAGAGGCATATCAGAATATGATATGATGAGGAACGCATACTTTTTCTTTAAGGATTTGGAAATCGTATGTATGCTAGTAAGTTACAGAATGCAAAGGTGCGGTTACTACAATATTCAAAGTATGTCTGGCGCGTCTGGTTCCAATTCAACCAGTGAAGGTCCGGGTTAGAATTGATCTTCAGTAACCCATACTTGTCGTAAGAGGCGACTAACGGGATCGGGTGGTCAAGCTCGCTGACTTGGTTGACACATGTCATCGGTTCCCAATTGCGCAGATCGATGCTCATGCTGTTGATCACTGGATAATCTGGTCCAGACTCGATTATTTACAGACAGCCGCCATATAACTGGAATATTGCTGAGTGCGGCGTAAAACTAAACTCACTCACTCACTCCAATTCACGTGAGCGAGATTGAATCTGCAGGTAACCTACCTTTACTTGGAAAACATATACAGACTAACACTTAGTCTCTGAAAATATATAATTTTGACAGAAACAACGAATTCCTTTAAATTTGAAAAGGAAGCCCTTTATAATTGGAGATTTCCATGGGGGAATTCTAGACTTTCTTCATTATTAGGCCCTCCAGAAAGGGCTTAATTAAAGAATTCATGCTGTTTATGGACTGTGAGACAGACTATTGAAAACACATCAATACACAATGCCATTTAGAAAGTGGTCAAATGTAACACGTTATATTTAGGATTACACGTTCTCAGTAAAGTACAAATTCTAGTACTTTTGTTGGGTTGAGTCTCATCCGGGATTCGAACCCACACCCTCAGAGTCAGCCACATCCTTATCTCCGAAATAATTCTGTTATCAGTGATAGGAAACAAGTCCAGAATATTGTTTTGTCTTACCCGAGGCGAACAAAACAGCCAGAAGTCCAGGAACAGTGAACAACATGATGACAGAGACTAGAGAGGGACGGCAGACCGCTTCTGTATCCCAGTCCCCTGGAGAGATTCGGCGAGTGGGTGCGTTCTCGTCACACTGGAGGATGCCCCGTATTTGCTTACACCTCTGACGTCATCACTTCAATATAACGCCCAGCAACATGAATGACAGTCCGTGTACTAACGAATGCAACATGTGGGAGGGGCTTTTGGAGGGCTCGATTGACCTCTGTATTTATGTTTATACACATACATATTTCTTTTCTTCTTCTTTTTTTTATTCCTGAACAGTTTACATGTATTCATAATATGCATAGCATTGACATACTGGTTACAGGGTTACATATACATATTTCGATACGTAAGTCTTGTAGAACATGCAACCGTTTCTAACATACAGGACACAAATTAACTCACGGATACTCACGGGAAAAAGAAACACAACAAAAGCAACAACCACTCCACGGAAATTGCTCTGGAGCAGTGCCCCTGTAAACTCACCCTAACAAACAACTAATTTTCCGAAAATTAGAATTTATTTTATTGATTATTGTATGGTAACGAAGACTAAATAACTGTTTGATTGGATATTTTAAATAATGAATTTTGTGTCGGAAGGAAACTGGGTACGTGTATTAAAATATTGACAGAAAATGTTCTGGTTCTGATAAAGGTCCCGACACATCATCCACCCCTAGCCCACACAAGTGACAGCAAATTGAGAAAAACACGCGAACTAACACATACAAATGCAATGTGGCCCTATAACGAGGTCGCTCGGGGTCGGAATTTAAAATGACTCGTCTAAACTTTGCCCGTCTTCAAAGAAGAAGTCTTTGACAAGGCGAGAAATAGTATCTAAGATGTTTGAAAAATCCCTTTCTCTATAGGCGACATGTATTTACACAGGGGTCTCCGTGGACGAAAATACTTTCATTGTATCTTATAAGAGATCATTTCGCTGGCAGTTCGTAATCCGTGTGCTTTGTGGACAAAGAATACTTAAAATGCATAAACTAGTTTCGTAATTGACAAGATAAACAGTTGTTTCATCGACAGTCAACTATTTAGCATTCTCGGTTGAAGGTATCAAACGTAATGACAGGAATGCTTCACTTAAGACTGGCTTAGCACAGGCCTGGGATTGTAATTAAATTTACATGGTAAATGTCAACTCGCGCCTTGTTGCCCTGTGATACGGGAGCAATGTTGGAGATCTTTCCGTCAGTTTGTGTCGTCTGCTTGGTGCACTATTAGCGCACTGAGAAGGCGGGAACTAGCATACGTACACTGGTAAACACGAAGTTGGATGTCGTTCAATCATGATCTTTCAAAGGAAACACCTTCATGTGAAGCCTTCAATTCATGTCAACAGACGACACCTCGTTACCCAAAAGGAGAAGGATAGTCCAGACTTTATCAGCAGAAAAATATAACTACATACATATATGTGTTTGAAAGGAATATACTTGAAGTTTGTCTGGTGAAGGATTTAACATGTGTGTTTTCAACTAGATCCCTCAGTGATGGTCTAAAATATTATTTCAACTTCTCTGTGGCGATTAACAAACCAAAATGACAAGTGTTTTACTGACAGAATATTTCTCTTCAATTTTGTGATAAATGAAAGTGCACACGAGACATGACCAGAATGGTTCTCATATTGCATCCTGTCGGAACTCGTGGCAGGTTCCTAGTTGCAATGAATGTATGTCAAATCTTAAAGAAATGAACACTTAAAATGACCGTCAAACATCATACAAACTGGCATAATTGTTGCCCGACTTCAGGCGGGGAATCAAAAACAAGCTTTCAACGTATTGGACAATGGTCACATGCATCTAAAATCGATCAAGTTCAATGATACGTCACATTAATAGCCAATAGGATCACATCCTTCTACAAGACACGCAAAGACGATCCGGTGCAAAAAAGTCAGTCGTCTGATGACGTCACGTTGAGATTGTTCTTGGAGGGCCAGGATCAAGTGTTGCTGGTTGCCTGGAGGATGTGGTGTCCAATGTAGGCCACGGCAGTGAGTTGACGCTGTTGGCTGTAAGGAAATTCTGTACAATTCGGACTGCATGGAATCTGGTCATGCTAATACAGAACACCCTATGGTAGCTGTTGTAGAAATGGTTGGGCAACTGGACGAAAGGTTATCCGTCATCCATGTGACGCAAAGCAGTTTTCCGTTAACGTTACGATCACCATTTGTGTTCTCTATAACTCCTCAGTAGCATGTCCCCGCCTTGATATTGCTGGAATATTGCTAAAGGCAGCGTAATATCATACTCACTCACTCACTCACTCATCCGGCGAGTGGTTCTCTTTCGTCGGTAAACGTTAACGCTGTCTTCCATTACATTTGAACGCACAAAATTGGCTTTCATCAATGAAGGCGACCTCCTGCCAGTGACGTCGTTGCCAACGGAGTACAGACCATCACCATAGGCGGATTCAGAGTCAGCCCTAATTCCTTGACCCCTGAGTCGCTTTGCCACTGTCCATCGACTAACCATACGCCCCAATGCAATCATCGCTGATGACGTCACTGTCACTTTCAATTTAAAAGGAACTGTTTGTTTCTATCAAAATTTATTTGTTTTTGTTTGTTTGTTTTTTGTTGGTATTATGAGTTTTTATGTCTTTCCTTTTCGTTGTTGAACCCACCCAGAACATGACGGCTATATAGCGTAAATAATAGATTCTGGATCTACCAATCCAGTGACAGATATCACGAACACGCTTCCGGGTTCTGTGACTCACAATCATCCCAGTCACAAGATCACCCCGACCGCGTCATACCAAAAGACGTTAAAATATGGTACTTGTTGGTCCCTGTCTGGCGCTCGGCAGTAATGGGTACAACAAGGACTGGTCGGCTCGGAATCAGTATAATGTCTCTGAGTGGGGTATTCATGCTTCACTGCGGCGTGGTATCTCAGTGGGCTAGCACTATAAAACCAGCTTAAGTCTGGGCTAGTACAAGCAGCCGCACATACACATACACACGCATGCACGTCGTCATATGAGCGAAATATTCTCAAGCACGACGTTAAACCCAATTTCACCTCACCTCACAAGATCACCCGAACCATTTACCACCCTCGTTTTTCACAAAGGATCATGTTCAGAGATCCTAGAAAAAGTAGATGCCACACATTGCTTTACAAGGTTGTGATGATATAAAACCACACTGAAAATGGCTAACAGAGTAATCCAGGTGTTGTCACGTTGACATTGGGACGCGGGGAAACGCTGACAGAAAGTAGACGAGTCCTGATATTTAGCATCTCAACATCACGCCTCCAGCAGACCTTTAGAATACAATGTAACCTTAATCATTGGTGTGTATTTTGTATAGGCTCGTGTACATCAACGGCAGGTGCTCGATATTTGAAGATAAGGGTGTTTACCTATCTGCTGTACAGGAGTTGGGAAAGTTTGTTCAGGGAAGTGTCAACCATCTTTAGTGTCATTCCATGAAGAGTATTTAATCTCACAAATCTCATGCCAGCCTAGGAACTAGAATTTGGATCAAACATACACATAAAGGATACAAAACGGACATAAATCTGCAGGTTTTCAGTTCCTCATGATTGTCTCCCTCAAATGTATTTATAGTGAAGTCTCCCTTCAGTTACTCTCATAACCAATTACTTTCCTCCGTGGTGTAGTGGTTAGAGAGATTCGTCCGCCACTGGTTTGCGGAAGGTCGCTTTAAGATCGATCTCTGCAACATTCGTCATACCAAAATATGGTGCATTAGGGGTGGTCCCTGCCTGAGCGCTCGGCATTTGCGATATATTGCAACCAAGACTGGTATATTGCTATGTAGTCAGTATAAATTTGTCTGAGTGGGGTATTCATGCTCGTCTTAATGCTTGAGTACAAAGCAACCGCACATACACATACACACATGCACGTCGTCATATAACCTATTCTCAAAAACGATGTTAAACCCAATTTCACCTCACTTCACCTCCTATCCTAGTAACATCCTATCTCTTCCTGGTTATCAGCAATGAACATTTGCTTGAGAGATTCCGAAGTTAATCACTGGTTTGGTGTGTATTTATTCTTTTTCGATCAAGCTCTCGCAACATTCAAGCTATGCAGTCTGAACTGTAAAAATACTGAAACTGCATCCAAGAACATAGTGATTGGTGGTATGAACAATGATCCAAAGGGCGTTAATGTATGTTGATGCCTTGAACATTGTTTAAAGACATCATGTACATGCAACACCCAATCTGGCAAAATAGATGAAATTCGGATGCATTGTGGCCTACCTAACCTGCTGTTATAACTGTGTCCAAATGATCCTCACTGGAAGCAAGGGAAAGGCACCTGTTTATATGCCAAATAATAATTGGTTGGATCCTGAATATTTTTGGGTGAATCTGGGTCGTGGTGGGAGTATGTTTTGTAGTGAAGTAGTTAAGACTGAGTACCCAATTCATAATCCCCAAAATATTTGTGATTGATAATTCGTGAAAATTTTGTTACAACATAGACTGAGTGAGTATGTTTTTTCAGCACTTTTAGCAATATTCCAGCAATATTGGGGGGACACCAGAAATGGGCTTGACACATAGTGCCCATGTGGGAATCGAACGCAGGTATTTCATCTTGGCCAGTGGACGCTTTACCCATAGGACTACCCCACCACCCCACAACACAGACTGACAGACACACAGGAATGCACAAGTACATACCTACACACAAACACCTTCCAACAGAACACCAGAGAATAAAAAAAACATGTTGTGAATGTATCAGTATTTATTCCACATCAATATCTTACAGTCATGAAGTATTGGCAGTCTTAGTGTTCATCATCAGCACAGTATATCAAAGTACCATCAAGTAGTGGTGATAGATACACAGGAAACACACAAGTGATTTCAGAATTTAGGCTTCCGGCATGCCAGGAGATATAACTCTGCTCAGCTAATTCCAGCACCTTGGATGACGAGGCAACCAATCTGCCCTGCACCATTATGAAATCATGAAGAACCAAGTAGTATTGTGACTGCCATGGAATAGTCTCTGCTGATGAGTGAGTGAGTGAGTATGGTTTTTACGTCGTTTTTAGCAAGAGTCCAGCAACATCACGGCAGGGGACACAGCAAGTGGGCTTCACACAAAGTGTCCATGTGGGGAATCTAACTCAGTCTTCAGGGTGACGAGCTGATGCTTTAACCACTAGGCTACCCCATTGCCCCCTATGCTGATGATACGACTGTGGCTGCTTGATGTGATCGGTGATGCTCAGTCATCCTCATCCTCATTGACAAGTCCCCCAAAGACCTTGTTAGGGATCATCTGTGTCTGAACTTCAACCTCTGTAACACAAACCATTAGTCAGTCAGCTGGCCAGACAGGGAAATGTACTTCAGTAAGACATCACTTTGGTTAGATCAAGTAATATCTCCAAGGAGATACTGACAAGGATATGCTGCTACAATCACATTGCATCACAATGGTTTGCAGACAGCTGTGACGTCATCAGCAACTGTTGCATCACAATGATTTTGTTTGTTTGTTAAACGCTGTACGCTGCAATGTTCCTGTTATATGGCAGCAGAACATGTACACATGTTTAGGTGAGGTCAAAAGGAGTCATTGAACTTTTTATAAATTATTGCACCGATACAGCACAGCATGGATGTGGATGCTTGTACTGCTCTAAACTGACTACCTTGCTGGAGTCTTAGCATCAATACCCCAGTCTGATCAGTCCTTGATATATCTCCTTAATGCCTAGCAGGGGTGGACTAGGGGTGGGGGGAGGCACACACATGTATCATCAAGTCCAAAGGTGAGGGGGAAATGCTCCTAATGGGTAACATTTTCGGGAAAGGGGGGATGCGTGGGATGCGTAACACACACACACACACGCACACACACATCATTTGATCAGTTTGGGATGAGACCAAGATGTGGTGTTATATCTTGGTAGTCTACGGCTGACTTACCCTCCACTTCCTCATCATCGTCACTGGAGAAGTCAGAGTCGATGTTGATCTCTTCGGGGTTGACGGTCTTCACCATCTCGCCAATGTCCTCTGCTGTGGTCGAGCTCCTGCACACACACAATCATAAATATCCAATCTCTATATCGTCAGTTTCTCCGCAAATGCCATTATAAAATGGCTCCACATTATCAAACAAGAAAATGTGCTAAACTGAAAAGGAATGTTGTGATTCATCAACAAAATAAAGCACATACAATTTTGGATCTCAGGAGTCCCTCTAACAACAAGCATGACTGCTGAGGACCAGTCTAACCTGACCTTGACATGCACAGCAACACATCCACCACACGAAGATGAAGCACAGTGTACCTGACAAACAGTAGTTTCTTGTCGGGCTGCTGAGGCTGGTCTCGCACAGCCTCCTCTGCCAGCTGCCGAGCCTTCTCCTCCAGCTTCTGCATCTCGTTGGGCTCCACAACTCCACCTGCTGCAGCTGGTGCATCCCCCTTACCTGCTGCAGCCAGCATCTGGGATGACATGAAGTTCACCTGGGACAAACACAACATTGTTACAATCTGATGATCATATCACATCCATGCATTGTTTACAGATCTTTCATCACCTGTGTGAAGTATATGGCTTACATAAAATATTATGTAGGGAATTTGTGTCACATGTCAGTCTAAGTAAACTTAGGCTCAATATTATTCGTTACACGGCTATACTGAGTCTAAGAAAACCTAGTAGAAGGTTGCGTCAGCTAACGTTTTGGACTGACCAATCAGAACACAGCTTACCAAATCGCGAAAGTTAACAATCGCACATACCGTTTGAACCTTTACCTCCAAACTCGAATGATTCAGTCGCTAGAAAATTCCCAAAATATAAGCAAAAGGTAACCATGTCATATACTGCTGATTTTGTAGTTTTCGTTTGATAGATCAGTGTCAGCGACCAGGGAAGAGAAAATCAAAAAACGTTTTGTAAGTCCCAAAGCGAACCCTAACAAGTAGTCGTTGTCTGATTGGTTAAATCCGTTCGGACGTCTTGCGTTTGATTGGACGGTCATAGGTCGCTCAAAGGTTAGCTGACACGACCTTCTACTAGGTTTTGTTAGACTCAGAATAGCAGTGTAACGAATAATACTGAGCCTAAGTTTACTTAGACTGTGTCACATGTGAGTTGTATATTGCTTTTATCTCACCTGTGTGTTGTATATGGCCTGTATCTCACCTGTGTGTTGTATATGGCCTGTATCTCACCTGTGTGTGTATGTATATTACCTTTATCTCACCTGTGTGTTGTATATGGCCTGTATCTCACCTGTGTGTTGTATATGGCCTATATCTCACCTGTGTGTTGTATATGGCCTATATCTCACCTGTGTATTGTATATGGCCTATATCTCACCTGTGTGTTGTATATGGCCTATATCTCTACCTGTGTGTGTTGTATATGGCCTATATCACACCTGTGTGTTGTATATGGCCTGTATCTCACCTGTGTGTTGTATATGACCTATATCTCACCTGTGTGTTGTATATGACCCATATATCTCAACTGTGTTGTATATGACCTATATCTCAGCTGTAAGCTGTATCCTCACCAAGCCAGTCTTGTATCCCAGTGTGTTGGCCATGGACATATGACCTGTATTCTCACCTGTGTGTTGTATATCTCACCTGGCCTATATGGCAAGCTATCTCACCTGTGTATTGTATATGACCTATATCTTACCTGTGTGTTGTATATGGCCTATATCTCACCTGTGTGTTGTATATGGCCTGTATCTCACCTGTGTGTTGTATATGACCTATATCTCACCTGTGTGTTGTATATGGCCTATATCTCACCTGTGTGTTGTATATGGCCTGTATCTCACCTGTGTGTTGTATATGGCCTATATCTCACCTGTGTGTTGTATATGACCTATATCTCACCTGTGTGTTGTATATGGCCTATATCTCACCTGTGTGTTGTATATGGCCTATATCTCACCTGTGTGTTGTATATGGCCTATATCTCACCTGTGTAATGGACAGTATATGGCCTACTCACCTGTGTGTTGTATATGGCCTGTATCTCACCTGTGTGTTGTATATGGCCTGTATCTCACCTGCAAGCTGTATATGGACAGTATCTCACCTGTGTGTTGTATATGGCCTATATCTCACCTGTGTGTTGTATATGGCCTATATCTCACCTGCAAGCTGTATATGGACAGTATCTCACCTGTGTGTTGTATATGGCCTATATCTCACCTGTGTGTTGTATATGGCCTATATCTCACCTGTAAGCTGTATATGGACTGTATCTCACCTGTGTGTTGTATATGACCGTATCTCACCTGTGTGTTGTTTATGACCTATATCTCCCCTGCAAGCTGTATATGGGCAGTATCTCACCTGTGTGTTGTATATGGCCTGAACGCTGCGTTTGATCCTCAGCATTTCTCTCACAGTGTCCTCATTGCCATGCTTGATCTCAAACTCCTTCCATGTTGCCCAAAATGATGGTGCTACCTGACAACAAATAACAGGGAGACTGCTACAATCCAGACTCCATAACAGCTGATATCAATAGAATCATGCTTTAAACCATACAAGAACCAGGAGAAATACTGTTGACAGTGATACACTTCGCCAAATTCAGGCCACACCCTGTGGGGTATTCAGCATACTCTCAGTCTAGGGCCTATACACTGTAACAATGACTTACCCTCGGATCACAGATCTGTGAGCAGTGAGCGTAGATAGCTCGTGCTCGGTCAATCTCTCCCAACTTTCTCTCCAAGTCAGCAAACCTCAGACTCATCTCTCTGGAAATAACATCAAGAAGTATTAGATGACAGGTTCCAAATTTTTGCTGATAAAATATTCTTATTAACTTGTTCCAAGGCTTAACAGGTCTCCACTACAGCTTAGAAAGTGAGTGGGTGTGACGTCACTTTGAAAAGTATATGTTATATCAATGTGGGAGGAAAACCGGAGGTGATGCATGTCTTTCACAGTGGTGTAGTGGTTAGCATGCTGGCCTCTCACGCCAAAGGCCTGGGTTCGAATCCCGTGGAGACACCAAACATTTGTGACCTGGGTCTCATACTATGTTGTGTCCCTGGGCAAGGCACTTCGTTCCCATTGCCCTCAGTCCACCCAGCTGATCAAAATGGGTGCCTGAGAAGCGGATGTACGGACTTATACGGTTGGTCCGAAGCGTCTTAGTAGCGGCTTTGAAAGTACAATTCCGTCGGGGTAATAATGTAACGCCAGAGAACAGCATTGAGTTGGATCCTAGGCGCAAGAATTAGCATCATCAACATCATCATCATCATCATCATCATCATCATCATTACACGTTAAACGCATGGCAAGGGATAATCACACAGATGAGTACAGTATCGTGGCACAGGTAAGGTAAGCAGTAAATGAGTGTTGTTTTAAGCCAGTCACATATACTGAATTAAACTAGTGTGGTTCAGTCAAAGAGTGACCAAGTTGTACAGTGACATGGATGCCAGCACTAACCTGGCTTCTTGATTGGGCAGCACCTCGATGGCCTTCTCATAGATGGACCTTGTGTGTGTCACACCATAGATCTCTGCAGCCTGCTTGATGTACACATTGTACATCTGTAATAAGAACATGAAACATCTTCACTGTCTAGCTCTACTGTCAGTAGACTCAGGAACACTCATAAGCTAGATGACATCAGTGGAACCATGAAAACAAGACTGGACAAAAGTAATCAATACTGTCAGCAGATCCATAGCTTAAACTAACATTCCGCAAGTATAGAACGCAAAACAATGCTTGAACATTCGACCCCACTGTTGAATGATGAACAAATAACTGATTTAAACATCTCGACATGTCGGTCAAATTTCAAAAGTAGCCTGTCCGTTTGGTTTGGTAGATATTTTGTGCCCCATGCTAACTGTAAATAACAATTTCCATAATATCAGACATTGGTATCAATGTCATCAATTTGTATGTGAGTAACAATGTATTATGATAACTGGGGATGTTAAACTGTTTTCATCTACCATTATATGGACAGTTCATTTTACATCTAACCAATCATAACACAACATACTTGGGACATAGTAACACCTAAACTCCAGAGCTGCATTGCCTGTTAGTGCTATGCTGTTCATTACATAGAACATGCTTGTAAACAGTGGGACAAAGTATTCAGAAACCTGATTTTGTTTTCATTTTGAAAACCGGACAGGCAAGTTTGTATCCGGACTGTTAATTGTTTTAAGCTACCAGTCCGGCTGTCTGGCTTGGAATTTTGGGAGTTTTAAACACTGATGTCAGTGCAGAAAAGCTATTTCGAAGGAACCATACGTTAAAATACAAACTATACATTGCTGTGACTTACTAAAACTGTACCAAGTATACTTATATAATTATGCAAAACAATACTTGAACATTTGACCACACTGTTAAATGATAACAAGACGCTAACTCTGAACACTAAACCCACTTACTACATGTCAATACAAGTGTGTACATACTTCATATTGTTCCTCTGGCAGTACAGCGTTTGTGGCTCTCTCGTACACTGCCATTGCATGGCGTGCCAGACCATGCTCCTCCTCCAGACGTGCGTACAGCAGATACAGAGCTGAGACATAGAGTAACAATGTTAACATCTACCACAGAGCTGGGACATACAGTAACAATGTTAACATCTACCATAGAGCTGGGACATAGAGTAACAATGTTAACATCTACCATAGAGCTGGGACATAGGGTAACAATGTTAACATCTACCATAGCTGCTAGGGACATAGAGCTGGGACATAGGGTAACAATGTAACAATGTTAACATCTACCACAGAGCTGGGACATAGGGTAACAATGTTAACATCTACCACAGAGCTGGGACATAGGGTAACAATGTTAACATCTACCACAGAGCTGGGACATAGGTAACAATGTTAACATCTACCACAGAGCTGGGACATAGGGTAACAATGTTAACATCTACCAGAGCTGGAGCATCTACCATAGAGCTGGGACATAGAGTAACAATGTTAACATCTACCACAGAGCTGGGACATAGGGTAACAATGTTAACATCTACCACAGAGCTGGGACATAGGGTAACAATGTTAACATCTACCACAGAGCTGGGAATGTTAACATCTACCACAGAGCTGGGACATCTACCATAGAGTAACAATGTTAACATCTACCACAGAGCTGGGACATAGGGTAACAATGTTAACATCTACCATAGAGCTGGGACATAGAGTAACAATGTTAACATCTACCACAGAGCTGGGACATACAGTAACAATGTTAACATCTACCATAGAGCTGGGACATGGGTAACAATTAACAATGTTACCATCTACCACAGAGCTGGGACATAGAGTAACAATGTTAACATCTACCACAGAGCTGGGACATACAGTAACAATGTTAACATCTACCACAGAGACATATCTACCACAGTGGGAACAATGTTAACATCTACCACAGAGCTGGGACATAGAGTAACAATGTTAACATCTACCACAGAGCTGGGACATAGAGTAACAATGTTAACATCTACCATAGAGCTGGGACATAGAGTAACAATGTTAACATCTACCACAGAGCTGGGACATAGAGTAACAATGTTAACATCTACCACAGAGCTGGGACATAGAGTAACAATGTTAACATCTACCACAGAGCTGGGACATAGGGTAACAATGTTAACATCTACCATAGAGCTGGGACATAGGGTAACAATGTTAACATCTACCACAGGGGGACATAGGGTAACAATGTTAACAACAACAGGTACATAAAGTAACAATGTTAACATCTACAACAGGGGGACATGGGACATAAAGTAACAATGTTAACATCTACCATAAAGCTGGGACATAGAGTAACAATGTTAACATCTACCACAGGGATGGGACAAAAGTAACAATGTTAACATCTACAACAGGGATCTTAACAATGTTAACATCTACAACAGGGATGGCAAATTTCTCTTCAGGTTACATTTTCTACCATAAACACTGTTAAACAGGTACCACATTTTCAAAATTGCTTCTTACTTTCAAATAGGACATTTTTCTGTTCAAACAGGTCCTTGCCCTGAAATATGCAACCTTAACCATGGTAACTGATATTCAGAGCATCTGATGAACGATAATCATAAAGAACTTAACCTGTCTACAACAGGGTGGACAAAATAGGGTCTCCTTCGATAAACAGGATCTGCACAGGACTGAAAACAAGTCTTTATGTAATGCTTGATGACAACCTCAAAATATAGAATGTGTCATTGATGGCATTCATATGTACATTACTCACGTATCTGTCGATGAACTTGGTGAGGTAGGTATTCCATATGTCATACACATTCGGCCATTTGAACAATGCAATTCCCTTCTCATAGGCCTGTGTAACGAGAGAATAAGAAATCAATACCAAGTGTTATGTTTTTCAGTATACATACAGTACAACCAGAAATTATTGAGAATTTAAGATTGTAATTTTTTTTAAAATTTTCACTCATTACTCACGTTATTAAATGTGAATATTAGCAGAACATAACTCAGATTCAAAGACAGGTGAACAGTTAGTAATTTTGTCAAGTCACCATGGGCAGCAATGCAGGCTTCAATGCGGTGGGGCATACTACAGATCAAAGAAGTTAGAAAGTCGTGGTCCATGCTGTCCCAATATCGGACCACCTCTTTTTTCATTTCAGCAATATTTGTCAGATTTTTCTTATTGACACTTTCCTTCATAAGTCCCCAAACATTTTCTATTGGATTTAGGTCAGGGCTATAGCTTGGCCAATCTAATAATGTCATATTTTGGGTCCAAAACCAGGCCTGTGAATGCTTTGCCGATATGTTTTGGAGTCGTTGTCCTACTGGAAAATCAAACATTTCCATAGAACAGGTGAGCAGATGGAATTAAATGTCCCTCGAGAATATCTGTGTACAGCTCACTGTTCATATTCCTTTCAAATACACAGAGGAGTGTTGCCCCTAACACAGATATGCCACCCAACACGTTAAATTTCTGGACTGTACTTTGGGCTGATACAAAGGTTTTCAGATTGTTTGGTCCAGAATTTCAGTGTATTAGGAAGCAGCCACACAGAACTTTCATCTGAGAAAATCACATTGTCCCAGTTAAAATTTTATGCTGTAAGCACCAGTTCAACCTTTTGTTCAGGTTTCATGATCGGTGATGGAATTCCTCGACTTTTCTGCCAACCCATGCATGCAGCTCAGTTCTAAATGTCTCCTTACAGACAGCCACAGGTCCTCTATCAATCATATCCAGCCTTAAGTTTTCTAAACTCCTTTGTTTGTTTTTAGAAACAAGAATACCAAGCCACCTGGGACCTACCTGTGCCTCTCTGGTGCTCAATGCCATATCCATTTGAAATATATTTCAAAACACAATAAAAACAGTGGACAAAGGGATGCCTGTTCTACTTGAAATCACTTTAGCTGATCTGATGTTCTTGTTATAATACTCTAAAATCAACTTCCTCTGCTCTAAATCATCCATACTGAGGATCACTGAAAATGTCGTCTCGAGCAAAGTAAACAAAGGGGATAACTCTTCACAAACTAATGAAAAGGATTAACAGAGTTGTCTCTCTTGAATGAAACCAAGCACTTGATAGCTGGTCAAGGTTGTTTATACTAGAAATCAATTAAACATATTCCTAAAATTCTCAATAATTTCTGGTCATACTATATATCTGGTATATCTCTGTTATCTCACAACCACACAACTGAATATTACATATCTCAGTATAACTGTCCTATCTCATGACTGACTGACTGACTGACTGACTGACGACTGCTCATGATGAGCTTTGAGTTGTGTGCTGTTCTGACTCTTCCGGTCAACATAACTTACATGCAATTTATAGATGGCAAATGTCATATTAAATAAATCTGGGACATGATACATATGAAGAAAACAATTGCTTAGCCAAAAGGGACCAAAATATTTCATTACTTGGAATCCTATTGAACTTTCTCTCACCACCAGATTATTATAAACATGATAAACACTCCTATTTGTTTTACAATACTGAATTCTGCATTTTTGGGAAATTGTTCTGCAGAATGCATCAAATACATCTTGGAGGCGGATGTTTGTACACAACAGGTTTTCAGCTGGACAAGCAACAATACAGGCACAGTTAGATAAAATCCTGCTCTATGTCTCACCTTGAAAGCCTCCTCAAAGTAATTATTCTCCTCAAGGAACATGCCATAGTTGATAATGATCTGCGGGGTTGCAATCCGGAGGTCGATGATACGATCATACACAGCTTTACATGACTGAAAAAAGATATGCTCAGTATAACAGGGAAATCACTATGTACAAGGCAGTTTTATTTGTTTGCTTACAAATACAATTTACAGTTTCCATCAGAATTTTGTCTGGAATATCCATGCACCCTGTAAATAAGTAAGTCCTGTCCAGGAAAACCCATGGTTGATATCGTGAGCTGCACCTACATTTCACCTTAGTGGTATGATAAGACTTAATTAACCAAGACTAATCACTAACCACCACCAAAAATTGGTGGGGACTTATTTCAACAAGGAGTTTCCACAGCAGTAATTTTGTTTGGTACATGATAATCTACAGACTGTAACAAATTGCCCTTCAATTAAAACACATTATCTTTACAGTGCTGTAGAGACATAAACATGAAAAATAATGCAGCACTCTTTGTGTAAATCTGTTTCATATCCCTTCCTTACCTTGAAAGTACCGAAGCTTTCCTCCAGGTCTGCGTACAAGGACCACACTTTCAAAGACTTGTGGACTCTTGACTGCACTGTCTCCGTCTGTAGAGAATAATCAGTGACAGTCACCATCCCATCAGTTCAACACAACGCAATCAACCTCAAGATATAATATGCCCATTTTATTTTGACAATTACCCTGGACAAATTTACTGCAAGAGGTTTGTTTTCAATTGGCATGACACAAATAACATCTGTCCAATCAAAACTACTGATGAGAGATTGATATGGTGAATATACTAACATGGCTATGGCAGCCATTTTGTCTTGAATACTATCAGAATAGAATGTGACACAATGGAGACGTAATACACTGGATGATGGAGCATGTGGATCAACTGTGGTTTGTACCAACAGCTACTTCTGTATGTTGATATTGAAGGATACATGCTCGCAATGTTACTAAAACTAACACGTCATGTAGTGTTGGGAATTGGCTGAAATCTCACAATTGATGATTGGTTCGATACCAACGACCAATCATCGAAAAAAAATGGTTAGCGTCATTTTTTAGATTTTCCTATTCAGGTTGTAAATGCAGATAAGTATAAAGAAAAAACATTTGGTTCTCTGGGTTTTTTTTGTTTTGTTTAGAAACTGCACAAATTACATTTGCAAATTTCACATCCAGTGGAAAATGATTCAGTTCCAGTGTCACATAAACTTCCCAGATTCTTCAAGAAATATTCAGTCATGACTTTTCAGAAAGTGAAGTGAGTTTTCTAAGAATTACACACGTTTTCCGGCCCTGACAACGTCCTAGATATGTTCCATCATCAAGTATTTCAAACTCTATTACAGCGGTTCTAAAATCGTTTGTGTTCGATTATGAGAAAATGTGATCGATTGCTTGGTCGTTTGGCCACTGCGACCAATCTTCGATTATTTCAATTAATCGGAACACCACAATGTCATGTGACTGACCTCGTCATGGTAAGCAACCTTCCTTGGTGGTGGCATGGTTGCCTTCTGCATCAGTTTCAGAGCCTCATCATTATTTCTGAAAGACAATATTCCACCTATAAATTTGCTCCTCTCTTTGTTTGCTCTTTCACAAGAATGATTGAACAAATATTGCTTTACGTTGTATCAACAATTTTCACATCAAGACTCTTTCACAAGAAGAAACAAGGTTAAAATGGAACATTTCTCAAGTGGCTCTGTTTTCATCGTGATCTAGGGGAGATAACTCTAACTTTTAAATAGTCAGTTCAACTGAATTGTAAAATGTTCACTGCTATAAATCTCTTAACAGAAGGTTCAGTGTTAAGTAAATGACAATGAAATTGCTGCAATATTTCTCAAGTTTGAATAAAAAGCAGAAACTAGTCATAAGTCATTGAAACTGTTTGGAAATTGAAAACATTGTTGAAAATGTATAAACTTACTCATGTCTGATCTCCAGCTCCGACCATTCACAGTACACAGAGGCGAGGTCGTCCACGTGCTTGTAGGGAACCTTCACAGCCTTATCAAAGATCACTCGAGCCTGGATATACCGAAACATTAAATATTACAGGCACCTACATAAAGGTACAACAAGAGTTTTCTCATTTTACTCTGCACTTAGCAATATAAAAGCTATATCGGTGAGTGAGAGAGTGAGCGAGCATGGTTTTACGCCACTTTTAGCAATATTCCAGAAATATCTCGGCAGGGAACAACAGAAATGGGCTTCACACATAGGCCTTCTGAATCGAACTCAGGGCTTCTGAGTGAGTGAGAGTGAGTGAGTGAGTGAGTGAGTGAGTGAGTGAGTGAGTGAGTGAGTGAGTGAGTGAGTGAGTGAGTGAGTGAGTGAGTGAGTGAGTGTGCATTTAGCAATATACGAGCTAAATCAGTGAGTGAGTGAGTATGGTTTTAAACTGGTTTTAGCCATATTTCAGCATAATCACAGCTTCACACATTGTATCCATGTGGGGAATCGAACCCAGGTTTTCAGCATGACAAGTGGACACTTTAAACATTATGCTACCCCACCGCCCCCACTTGGAGTGATGAGTCATGTGATACAGTGTACTGGTTCAGCGATATGAAGCGGTTCGGCCTGGTGAAACAGGACGAGTCGGGATAGTAAATCGGTTCAGCTTAGTGATCTGATTCAGAATGGTGAGCTGGATCGTTTATGTGATCTGGATCGGCGTTGTGATCTGGATCGTGACTGTGATCTGGATCAGTTTGGTAATCCGAAACGTTTAAATGATCTCAGCTGATGGAGAGATCTAGAACGATCAGATGAACAGGTGAGGTGAAATGTTCTGGCCGAGGTGAATTGGTTCAACGAGGTGAATCGTTTCGGTGAAGAAAGCCGTTATGGCGAGGCGAACCGTTTCGGTGCGATGAATCGAACCGATGATGTGAACTGTTTCGGCGATAAGAAACAGTCTTATATATGAAACAGTCGATTATGATCCAATATGCCTTGGCGAAACAGTTCGGCCTGGTGAATCCATTTTAGTGGCGAACCGATTCAGTGTGGTGAATCGGTTCGGCGATTCGACGATGTAGATTGGCTGTGTGAGTCGGCTGGCAACACAGAGCGGTTCGATAAGGCGGAACGACGAGTAGACATCTGATGATGCGCCCATAAAATCATCACCTTCCGACATGGGAATCTCCAAATGACGAGCAGTTAATACTGGTCATTGAAAGTCGGGGTTTTGTCGGGTGATCAACTGTTGAAGTGTAATGAGCTCTGTCTCCCAGCCAACGGGAGCAAGCATGTCTATATGCTCTAAAAGCATCCTTGATAAGGGAGCACATTCCGGGACAACGCTTGCTTCAGGAACACAAGTCCCACACATGACGTGTGGGGATCCGAGAAGAAAATATTGTTACAGTGTGCGCAAAATTACACTACTTTGGGTTAACCACCCATGATATATTTTTCATGTTAACTTTTAAGGAAAACTGAGAACTCTCACAATACGTCCATACAGTGGTGCGACAAGAAGAAGAATGATCACTCTGAGGTAGTCACGTGGGTAGACAGGGGAACGTGCTGCACACTTAGCTGGGGACTAGGGACCTGTCCTATAAGGAGAGCAGCCTGGGGAACACGGGCGTATGGACAAGAGAGGCCTACAGGAAAAGTTCTCATTTGTTCCACTCAGCGTCGAAGCAAGAGAGAGAAGTGCAAATCGTGAGATAGGATAAGTTTAAAAATCTGTACTTACATCCTCTATTTGTTTGGCATTCTCGTAGAACTTGGCAAACTCCACCCAGAGTGTGTGCGGCTTGCCGGACGCCAGCTGAGGGTCGACTGTCTGAACCGCCTCTGTGTATGTGTTGATGATCTGTCACAACAAGTGTCAGCATTCAATAAATAGTCCCCTGATATGGAGCTCATATCCAGGTACATTGCCTGCACATGGCACTACATACATTACAAACCCCCGGTCATAGGACACTATTGTACTTTCTGATCTCTTTCAACTCCCTGGGGATCACACAGCCATGCTGCCTGTTAGGCGCAATGAACTAAACACTCACATTGCCAGCACATCCTCACGGGTACCCATTTTACAGCGGGGTGAACTGAGACAATGTGGATCTGAGTATCTTGTCCAAAGAATACTATGCAAATGTGTCCATCTAGGTACCTGAACCTAGGTGCCTTCACCGGCGACCGAACCCGGGCCTTACCACTGCACTATTGCTGACATATCTAATTCATTGATCAATATGAACAAGAGCCAGACATATTCAATTTATTCTTCAATACTTTTCAGGAGAGCCACACAAATCAGATTAAATAAATACTTGACAATACTTCACACAAGAACCAGACATGACATGTTCATGTGGATGTTGTAATGGTACGTATCACAAAAGAGACCCTTGACTCGCCTTGGAAAATTCACTATGTGTTCACTATGTGGGCCAGTTTCAACATACCTCTCTTGGTTTCTCTTCAAACAACTTCACGCGTTTGTGCCACTCGTGGACATTGTGAGGATTCTGTCTAAGAAGGACGCTGTCAGATGCAAAACACAAACATAACATAAACAGGATAGAAACATTTTCGTTTGGGTTAAAAACGTTAACTTAGGTTCCTGAAATCATAAATTTGCTCTGAAATTAATCTTTGAATAAATCACTTCAGTCTACCTGAAATGTTCATAATCAAATTTTCCGCATTTAACCAGCGATGCTTGGTTTAAACCCTGTGCTATGAACTGAATATACAGTCATGTTTGGAGTAAACAGTGAATAAAGATCCTATTTCAAAACTGCTTTCATTGTCCATTGACATGTCAGTTGTAAACAATACCTGTTGAGAAGAAGTGGTCGCCGATCCATAAGGCTCTCTAACCTTGCAAGCCGTAACTCAAGGTCAAGGTCATCTGAAAAACAATGAATGAATTTAACATTTAATCAGTTTTCAATCTGAATTACAACTACCAATCACAAGACACCGTACACTTTAACACCCAAATGATACAGACTGACTGACTGACTGACCGAGTGTAGTTTTACGCCGCTTTTAGCAATATTCCAGCTACATCACGGCCGGGGAACACCATAAATGGGCTTCACACATTGTACCCATGTGGGGATTTGAACCCGGGTCTTCGGCGTGACGAGCGAACGCTTTAACCACTAGGCTACCCCACCGCCCTCCAAATGATACAGAAAACCAACACGAGAACAAAGGCAGCTACAATGACACGACCCTCAACCTTCATCAGATGCTCCAGCCTCCTCCATAGCTTCCATCTTAGCAGCGATCATACTTTTCTCAAACTTGGCGTATTCATCAAACACCTGTGTGAAGTCACGGACAGTGATCACTGTCTGAATGGCTTCCTCGTAGATGTCCCTCGCCTGGAAAAAAGTATAGGTGCTTGACTATTCAATCCTAAATAAGATTTGTTAATGAAGCTGGAAAGATGTATCAAAACATGTTACAGTCTTCCTTTCTTTCTCAAAGCTGAACAATCTCTTTGGATATTTTACATTTATTCCTCTAACCATTATTGTTTTGTCTTAAAGCAGCCCTATCCCCTTAAAAAACATATCGCTCAGTATTATTACCTCTGGCCATCATAGTTTTGTCTCAACTGCTTAAAGAACTCCATAAAGATCTAACAACCCTCAACTGCAGGGGAATCATATTGTTTACTGGACCAAGTGGAAGCTTTTTCTATTGATCTAACAAGAGTGAAACCTTACCCTCTCAAAATGGCGGCCTCGAATATAGTAGTTGGCCAGTGAGTTCCACAGAACACCAATCTGGTCCGTGTAGCGCTTCAAACCCTGGCGGATGATTGGCTCAATCTTCAGTGATGTCACCTTGTCAGGGTTCTTGGCGATCAGCTCACACAGCTCATTCCACAACTGTTGGTAAAATAAGGGATAGTTCATTGATGGCAAATGTGAGGGATACTTCATTGATGGCAAATGCAAGGGATACTTCATAGATGGCATAAATGTGCAGGATCCTTCATTGATGGCAAATGTAAGGGATACTTCATTGATGGCAAATGCAAGGGATACTTCATTGATGGCAAATGCAAGGGATACTTCATTGATGTCACATGTGCAAGATACTTCAAGTGATGGCAAGAGAAGCAAATGTGGAAGATACTTCATCATCATCATCATCATCATCGTCTTCATTTTCATTGGGGATTCGGAACCGGGTCTTCGGCTGTGACGAAACAACACTTTAACCATTAGGCTACCCCACCGCCCCTATAATCCATGGAGCACATGCATACCCACTGTCTCCTAGCAACCAACCATCTCCCATCAAGCCTTGTTCAAATGAATGCTTCAGGTTGCACATATTCCACAAAAATGGAAGTCGGACAACTGGTAGTCTAGACTGCGGGCTTTGTGTACCCCTCTGATAAGTGTTAATTGGCACGGCTCCCACGGCCATTGTGGAAGTCGCGGTAGCTGAGCGGGTTAGGCGGCTGACTTTGTGTGCTGGCGATTAGGTGCCTGACTCTGAGGGTGTGAGTTTGAATCCCGGATGGGGCTCAACTCAAAAAGTACTAGAATTTGTACTTTACTAAGAAAGTGTAATCCCAAATATAACATATGTTACATTTGACAACTTTCTAAATGGCATTGTGTAATCAATCTAACGACTGCTTCGAGTTTCGAGCCCCAGGATACTTCACTGATGTCACTTTTACAGTTGTTGAGATTTATGGTTGATAAAACATATACTAGTACTAGAAGGAACAATTTTGTATGGATAGACAACTTCTTTATTGCAACACATACAATGTTTTGGTGTAGATGCTAACACTTTATCAAGCATACGATGCTTGTGATGCTTGTTTTTTAAGAGGTAAAACATACACTGCAATAGTATTGAGATGAATAAACACAGTTGCCATACAACACACTGCAATATTGATACAATGGGTTCCATCAACATCACTTAACATGATCAAAAAAGCATCACACTTGGGCCCTCTAACCAACAGATTATCCCTTCTCGTTTGTCTTTTTACCTGATGTTTTGATTTTCCCTCCCTTGAAACAAACGTTTCATCATTGATAACATCTGCCAGTCTTATTGCAGCTTCATCCAGCCAGCCAATCGTCTTCAAGTACTCGATGTACTGCTCTGTGTTTTCCTTCTGAAGCTGGCAAAGAACAAAGGTAACCATGGTAACCATAGTTACAAATAGCAAGGGGTAACTATAGATACCAAAGAGGGATAACCAGAGACCATATAATAGATATATTATATGGTCTCTGGGATAACCATATTTACAAAGCATGGGCCTTACTTACAAAAGGAAGTAAAATACAAATTATTTTTCACCTAAAAGTTTCATATTAGGAGATAGACATCATGTGTTGGCCAATTTCCGGGTGTTATTGAGTATTTGAAGCATGGGAATTCATTTGAAACCGACGGCATCGTGTGAATTGGTAATCATGGTAATCGACATTATGATGCATTATGACAAGTTATTGTTATTAGTTGTGTAAAAGTATGGCAGCAGACACTGAGATCATTTGAGGAATGGGTAGCCCCCAGTTTCTGATATATTACCTTAAGATGTCTTCTGTAGGCTCTTACGGCGGTCTCAGGCAGTTCATACATACGAACAAATTTAAGGTAAAGAGGCCATATTCTGTTGTGTTGAGTTATAGGCAGAGCCCGGAGTGCTCGGTCCAGCGTACGACGGGATCGTGTGATCTTCCCCTGATCGATGAGGAACGTGCAATAGTCTAACCAGATCCGGGGCATCTGAGAGGAAAATGCAAACATATGACAACTGCGCAAACACATCATACATACTGTAATCGTATATATTTTCACGGGGTGCAATTTTCGTGGAAAGTTCACAAAAGAGCTGTTAGCGCAGTTGTTTTTTTCGCATATTTCAAACACCTGTGTGATAGTATCCATCATAAAGTTTTCACAGCTGATACACATGCAATGACCAAAGCTAGCCGCCATAATTGAATCGTGTTTACTAAAACAATCAGAGAGAGAGGTGGGATTATACTTGTGTCAACATGACAACACCTGTCCCATACGCGAGATCAACTGACAACGAATTAAGGAAGAGTGTATACTAGGACTTACGATAATTAAACATAGAAATCATAAAGTAGTGTTTGTTGTTTATGAACAGGTGTTGTTCACATGGTCAAATCGTTGATTGGCTGCATTTCACGTCTTTGTTTCAATTACATGTTGTTCCTACTTGAGTATTTGTCATGACTTCACCATGAATATTTTGCTTGGTATGATTATTAATGTACGATCTTTTATCAAAAATTAATCCCATGCAAAAATAACTACAATTACAGTACAGTGGAGAAAAGTCCATATCAATAACATGATATACTGGAGATAAGACCAAATATAACCACACCCTGGACAGCAGTCAAGCTCAACACAGGGTTCAAGGGGGAACTTCAGCCTCAAAATTGAAAGGAAAGGGGAGAAGAGAAAAAGAGGAGTTTGGTCTTAGGACCGCATTGTCATATTTGGCTGAACCCCACCTCACCATACATGAAGATGTGTTGATGATGATGATTTAATTGGGAGATGTGGGTGGGGGGAGGGATGACCATTTGTTCTGGGAGGCAGGTGGGGTCATCAATTATGTACGCATGTACTTGGGGGGGACAGCGATTTTGTACATAGAAATATCAAAATATCACGCTTAAAAATTATGGGAAGGGATGGGGATTGAGAAGAATGAACAAGTTTAATTCGAGTCATACCCATAAAATATCTTACCTTGTGCATGAAGACAAGAGCCCTTTCAAAGGCACTGTTAGCATCCTCATATGCTGGGTCAGTGACACAACGGCCTCGTACTTGGGTCCTCCTCAGTTTTAAGTAGTTGTACCAGAGCTTATAGCTGTAACCAATGGTAACTATGTACAGTTTTCTATTTGTGATTAGTCTAGTCTAAACTCTAATGCCTGTTATGAAGGATAGTTAATAGTGTTCTGCTTCAGTTATTGCCTTTCTCTTACCATTCCTAATTATTATTATGAGTTCATGTTTTGAGGAAAACATGATGGCAGCCTCCACAACCTTCTGTTCCATGTGCTCTGGAAATAAAACCTTGAACTATCGAACAGACACTTCCTTTCACTTGTTTTTTCACTGTCCATAGTGCTAGTCCAAATAGATACCTTAATACAGTTTAATATGAATACTTTACTCAGACGCTATATTCTAATTCTGAGCTGACCAGTCCTTGCTTTGCACCCTAAATACCAAAAACTAAACAAGGAAAAAACATGTACCATCTTTTGACATTTTCAACAATCTGAATCATCCAACCACTCAGCATGGAGTAACAGTTTAGTGAGCATTGAGATAATTACGGCAATAAGGGACTGTTCATAATTTATGGCATGAGGGGGGATGATGATGATTTGGGGAGAGGGTCCATCCATTTTGTTCTGGGGAGCTATGATTCATCAATTTTTTACACATTTTGGGGTCACAAATTTTGTACATAAAAATATGTTTCAATTTATACTTAGAAATTAGGGGAAGGGAAGGGGGGTCATTGATTTTGTACATGACATGCAGGGGGGTGTCACTTATTTTGTACATAATCTTTTTTTGGGGGTCCATTCGCATTGTACATGCTTCTCCATAAAAATCATCATCACACCCCCACCCCAATAAATTATGAACGTTCCCTAAATCCATGTATATCCATGTCACTATGTATAACAATCTGCCATTTATCCTCTACAGTGCCATACCTCCCTGGCAGCTCCTTGAGCGCCCGCTCATATATCATGTTGACCACCTCCCGGGACGCCTCCTTTTTGTGCTCCAAGTAGCGGAGCCAACATTTCACTGAGAATGGGTTCCTCAGAATATCTTCTTCATATGGTAGATCATCATCTTCCTACACAACACCATGTGAATGAGTGAGTGAGTGAATGTTGGTTAGGTTCTTGAGAGAGGCATATAGAAGTTGGTTGTCACCATGGTAATATTACAGGTACACTGATTAAGGTATTATGTATATCATTTAAAGGCCAGGTGCAAACTGCAAACTATCCTGTGGGTTTCCAATTAGTCTCCCATTGGCTACTCCTGAGCAGTGTAGATGTTATCTGCTCATGAGTGACAGGACAATGGCGGCTATGGGTACTTGGCAAGAGCCTGGTATTGTCAAAGGTTAACCTTGGAATTTACTACTAGAATAAACATTTGCCTTATAGTAAATGTCCAACAACCCTTTCACTACATATTTTGTCTTTTTCCCAGCCTGCCTGAAATATGAAACCCTGAATGACACTTTTCCCCAGGCTTGTTTCTATGGAAACACACCTCCTCTGGCCACCTGACTGACACAGTGGGAAATTAAAATCTGGATTTAAATATGAGAAATATTTTTCAAAATGTATGTTTTCTAGACTGTCTGCATCCATGCCTTTTGCTGTGAGTCTTTATAACATACTTCTTTATACTACTACTAAATATCAGCTTGAACCGGTAAGTCAATTTTGTGATATTTCATGGAATGTACTTGAATACTACATTGCTTTGCATCGAAAGACAGCTTTGACAAGGCACGGAGGCCACACCCCATCTGTGTATAGGTTTGAACCCCAGCCTTTAAGTTCTTTTGCAAATTATTAGTGTATATCTTTTAACAAAACTGAACAATAACTTTTCATGTGGGAGTGAAACACATCAAGTACACAGACAAATCTCTTTATTAAGAGAATTCATGATTGTGTTCCAGCAAATTTAAAACTCACATTACTGAAAAATGAAAACTTAACAAATAATCTATGTTGACATATAATCACTGTTAAGAACACTTGTACCAAAGATTGCCCCCAGTAAAATGCAGCATTGCCAACTTGTGTATTTATGCATGTTTTGTGAGAGATAATAAGAGGCAACATATTTTGGATATTCTTTGGCCTTGTCTTCATGTTGCATTTTATAAATAATTTATGGTTTGAGACAAAATTAGGATGTTGTGAAAAAGCCATAGATCCAGGAAACTGACACAAGTGATAAAATAAATTATTATCAAGTGTTTATTTATTTCATTTTTAACTATCACTGAAGAACATGAAATAAACTGAATGTCTTTGACTGTGACAAGTGTGAAAGTGTATGACAACATGCGTATCATAAACTTGTTAAGAGATAATCAGAGAATGTACCACCAACAGAAATGTTCAGAATTACGAATAGAGACTCTTACAAAGAAAATGTCGTTCCTTGAATCATCTTCTGCTACCGGCATTTTTCGTTCAAGTAAGCAGACACCCGCGTTGTTTACTTCCTTTCAAACATGTGAGAAACGTACACCGGAAGCTCAACTGGGCGATTCTATTCTGATTTGTGTAGGGGTGGATCATTCTGTTCGTTGGACTTGTCCTCTGTCTCTGTTGCGCATGCTAAATGTTGTGCAGCTGTAAGAGAAGGCAAAGGACAAGGTACCAGTCTATTCGTTTGCTTCATACAGAAACTTCGGAATGAAGTCTTTGTTCGTTTAATCAGTATGTTGCTTCATTTATTGTGTTTTAAAATCCTAATTTAGAATCCTCCATAACTAGGATAGGCATATCGTAAAATATCACGTATGTATCATTCACTTACACCCCTGTCTCATGAGTGACTGAAGTGCTCTCAACAGCGGTGTAGATTTCGCATTTGGGGCAGGTGGTGTAGAGAGCACGTGTACTGCTTCCAAAGATGCAAAGAGTACTGAAATTTTGGTACTTTGCCTTTGACAAGATTTATATAATAAATATAAATATTCATAAATTGTAATTTTATGAAAAACATATTTAGAAAACACAGGAAAAACATAATGTACTCAGGAAGATCTTTCTTTTTTAATGTGCTTTAATCAAGAAAAATAAGGATAAGATGATACAACAAATTCAGGGACACGAGATAACGACGTAATTGCCATATAGTTATTATGACTTCCTACAACCATACACTCTCTCAAACCCATGTGATGTGTGTGAAACCATTTTGAAACCTTTTCCCTTGACCCAATAACAATAATTCTGCTGACACCTCTTCATGGCTTACACAGGATTAAGTATGTGTTTATCCAATTATTCAGTCAGACAACTTGTGGAGATAGCTCTTGGTTTACTGTTGTGTTTGGGATGTATTTGAAATTATAACTTTTGTAAAATGATGTTATCATCTGTGACAGTTTTTATGTGTTTGATTTATAGAGTATTATCCTTTGTCCATTTTAATGATGGTCTGTTTTTTCAAACTGACACTGATGAGCAAGGCCATTTTAAGATAAGCTGTTGCTATGGAGCACTGAAACGTCTGAGGGTATGATTCTGCAACTGTGTGTAGGAAGATGTGTTGCATCAGAAACTGTAAACCAATATTGGTTACAGGTTGCATCATGTAACAATGTGCATGATGTTCAAATTCCTGAACAAATATATATCTGAAAAATACAGGATTTATAACTAGAAATAAACGAGACCAGTGATGTCGCCTTGTCTGTTTCATATCTTCAGCAACCCATGCTTGTCATAAAAGGCAACTACGCTTGTCGTAAGAGGTGACTAACGGGATCGGGTGGTCAGGCTCGCTGACTTGGTTGACACGTAGTCGGTTCCAGATTGCGCAGATCGATGCTCATGCTGTTGATCACTGGATTGTCTGGTCCAGACTCGATTATTTACACACCGCCCTCATATAGCTGGAATATTGCTTGAGTGCGGTGTAAAACTAAACTCACTCACTCACTCACTCATATTAAGATCTATGCATAAAGAGAAGCAAATAATTCCCAAAGTCTGTATGACAAGAGGGATGACTTAGACTTTCCAATTGTCCAGGGACGGTGGGGTAGCCTAGTGGTTAAAGTGTTGGCTCGTCACGCCGAAGACCCAGGTTTGATTCCCTACATGGGTACAATGTGTGAAGCCCATTTCTGGTGTCCCCCGCCGTGATTTTGCTGAAATATTGCTAAAAGTGGCGTAAAACCAAACTCACTCACTCATTCCAATTGTCCATTGTCCATGTTGAGCAATATACCAGCAGCTCAAGCCTTTAGTTTCTGCGTTTCACAATGTTGCTAAATCCGATCATGCTCTTTCTACCAAGATCCAAAAGAGTGTTGTGGCGATGGGGTAGCCTAGTGGTTAAAACGTTCGCTTTTCACGTCGAAGGCCCGGGTTTGAATGGGTACAATGTGTGAAGCAATTTCTGGAGTCCCCTACTGTGATATAGCTGGAATATTGCTTAAAGTGCCCTGAAACCCAACTCACTCACTCACTCAAAGACTGTCATGCGACTCATCCTCAAATGGTGTTTGGTCATGGTTACAATATTCCAGGCCTCAGTCGAACTTTTAATAGTGACAAAATGTATGTCCAAGGCAATTCATTTGACATGCAGGTTATGATGGTTTAGTTTCAGTTCCAGGTTTGCTTTTGTTGTTATTTCAGCCTCATATCCTGTTTCTGAGTGAGTGAGTGAATAAGTGAGTGAGTGGTCAGTTTTATAGAGCAATAATGAGTGAGTGAGTGTGTGGTTTCATACAGCAATATTTTCAGCATAGTAAGTTGACTGTTGGCTTCAAACATTGTACACCCTGGGGAATGAAATCCAGACATTCAGCTTGACAGGTGCACTATTTAACCCCAAGACTACCTGACAAACTCACCGTGTTGAGCATCATGCCCATGAAATCATTAACCACAAGACACAGAAAGAGTCTCATATTTTATTGACTAAATCAAGCAGCAATTCAGCATCATAAGTAAAATGTCTTAGTTCCAGCTAAGGGGCAGACTCCACACAATGATCTTAGCACTGAGATGACAGTAACTCCAGTACTCTAACATAATGAGTGAGTATGGTTTTACACTGCTTTTAGCAATATTCCAGCAATATCATGGTGGGGACACCAGAAATGGGCTTCACATATTGTACCCATTAGTGTTGGGAATTGGTGTAAATCTCATAATTGATGATTGGTTCATTACAATCGATCAATCATCGAAAATATTTGGTTAAGCGTCATTTATCAAATTTTCCTGGTTATGTTTGTTAATGCACAAAAAATAAAGAAAAAACATGTACATGTAGTTCTCTCTGGTTTTTTCTGCAAATTACACAAAATGCATTTGCAAATTTCACATCTTTAAAGGATGACTAGTGTGTTAGGAACATACATTTCCTGGAGTTGTTAAGATAAATTTAATCACGACTTGGAACGAGCTTGTAGTGCTTATGCAATGAAGAGACAAAATCAACCTTTTGAAAAATATTGTTATTCCAAACAAGTGTTCCAAAATTGTTTGTGTTTGATTAAGAGAAAACATGATCGTGTGCTTGGTCGTTTTGTCATTGAGACCAATCTTCGATTATTTCAATTAATCGGACCACCACCAGTACCCATGTGGGGAATTAAACCCAGGCCTTTTGTGTGACGAGCACACGCTTTAACCACTAGACTACCCCACCGCCCACTCTAACATAGAGTTACACAGCAGGAGTGCTAAGATCATCTTGTGACCCCTGCTTCTTTTCCAACTAATAACTGAAATCTGGCAATAAAAAAGTAAATGTTACTGATAGGGCTGCGCTATATAACTGGTTTACCGGTATTTACCACAGACATGGAAACGATACGTATTGCGATACGCTGATCGAAAACCGGCATTTTGACATGCTTTCGGAAAACTTTGTAACACTCGGAATTCTTCGGATATTTCCGTTTTTTAAATTGTTCCTTTCCTTGTTTCATTTGTGCCAAACATTATTTACATTTATATTTTGCCATGATTAAAAGTTTTCTTAAAGCCTAATCAAGCATTGTGATTTTGTTGTGTTTTTGCTTTACAAATCAAGCATTAACTCGATTATAAGTATTTTTTTTGTTAAAAATAATTCTTGCAATATATTGCAATACATATCGCAATACATGCTTTCGCATCGCAATATATCGCAATACGAAAATTCCCTGCAATATCCACCCCTAGTTACTGACTAGAATCACTCATTTCTATACATGAGTATCCCACCAGACCTTCAGTGAGTGTGGTTTTCAGATGCTTTCAGCAATAGGCCACCAATATCACAGTGGGGAACACCAGAAATGAGTTTCACATACTGTACCCATGTGGGGAATCAAACCTGGTCTTCATTGCGACAAGCCACCTTTTCAACCACTTGGCTATTGCACAGTCCCCATAAATAGAAACAAAAACACGCCTGACACAGCACAAAGTCAGCTGGTACAGTTTGTATATATAACAAGCATAAATAACAATAAAATATTAACAAGTGGTAAAAAGAACATTGGAACTATGCATGGGTAGTTTGGAGTAACTGGAATGGAAAATTGTAAACAACAACAAACATATAAATTGTGAAAAATAATGAGTCACGTAACATTGATTTCAATCTTTAAAATAGGATCTTGGAACTCACTACTGAAAAAACAAGAAGACAAAGTCATCAATATCCCCGCAATGGCAAAATACTCTTCATGAATATGTCTACAAGTTATGATAATGTCAAATGTTTTTGTGTGTACAATTGTATATAGCTAAGTGGAAGGAGAGTACTGAAAGGTTTCAAATTTCTGCTCCAGAAAGGAGCACTACCACCAAATTCAGTTGAAGCCAAAATTGTTGCCATGGAAATGCTAAAAAACCCATTTTATTCAGAAATCCCAAACTAGAAAAAGGCACCAGTTCACCACTAGACCTACCTATGTATGAAATTTGGTGATGAAACAGTGAACAGTTTTTAAGTTCTGCTCCAGAAAAGAGTACTACCACCAATTTCAGTCAAAGTGAAACTTGTTGCTATGGAAACGCCAAAAATATTTTATTCAGAAATCCAAAAATACCCAAAGTCACCAGTTCACCACCAGATCTATCTAAATGCCAAGTTTGGTGAAGAAACATTGCACGGTTTTAGAGTTCTGCCCCGGAAAAGAGTACTAGCACCAATTTCAGTTAAAGTCAAACTTGTTGCCATGGAAATGCAAGAAATATGGTTTTAGAGTTATGCTCCGGAAAAGATGTGCACAGACGCACGGACGGACGCACGGAGTCCATTTTAATACCCCCCGCAAAACACGTTGCAGGGGATAACAAAGCTTGTATGACAGTAGCAAGCAATACTACTGATTTTACAGAGATCATATTGGTTCTATAGAACAAATGATGCATTTGAATACAAATACATTTGAAAAAATTATGTATATATATATATATATATATATATATATATATAACAGACTTCAGATCTAAAACATTTTTGATTATATTTACAAATTTCTCTGACTTTAATTTGATTATTGTTTGATGTGACAAT